ACACGGTAAAATTGCTGGAAATACAATAGAAACCAGGCATTAGTGAACACTGACTGATTTACAACTCTGGCCTGCTAAACTGTCGGCACTTAGAACTCTTGTTCTTTTCAGGTAAGCAATCGTTACCATAATCACAAGTTAATTGAGAATTTCCTGTAACTCATTTGTGAACAGAAAGTCACCATTCGCTAATTCCTAGTCTCTACTTTAAAAAATGTAATTACAAACAATTTTATTAGTAATTGTAAAATTGTAAATTTTCGATATGCATTTTGATTATTCCATTTTTCAGTTATTGGATTTTAACACTTTTCCACTTATTCGATTTTTTAATGATTCAATGTCACAGTTTTCGAGTTTACGATTTTGACGATTCTATAATTTTTCGATTTTACAATTTTCGGGTTTTCCAATGTTCCGATTAATAGATTTTTTCGATTTTTAGTTTTTCAGTGTTTAATTTTTTCATTTTTTCAGTTCTACGATTTTCAATTTTTCGATTTTACAGTTTCAGGTTTTTTCAGTTTTTACAGATTTTTTAGTTTTTCGATTTTTCAACTTTTCAAAAAAAAAGTGGCAATCCGATGGACTCGCTTACTATACTTTCTCAAAAGCGGAAAAATTGAAAATCAAAAACTGGAAAAATTGACGAAAATTTCAAAAATCCAAACTTAAAAATTGGAAAAAATGCAGTCGAAGAAACGAAATCTTAAAATCGAAATTATGAGCATTAAAGAAATCGGAAAATCCGATGACTATAACGATATTCTGTGTATGTTTACAATAACAGGCAAAACATACTTCCAGAAGAAACGGTACCAAAAATAAAGTTAAGCTATTCAGGGAAATGTAATAATCTTATCGGCAGGTAAATTCTTAGAACGACTTAATTACGGTGGTAAGACCCTTTGATAAGAGAAGTACAAAAGGGTAACTGTTTCCCTGGCTATTCTCATTTTAGTTCTGTTCTTGGTTCAAGAAAGTGCGAGTGGTTCTTCGCGAGTTTTCACTATCATCATTCGATTTTTGTTTGTCCAGAGTAAGTACATAATTAACAGGAAATATTGTGAAAGTGTCCATTTGATGATTTAATTTCATGTTTTCCCAACGTTGCATAACCCCTAAAATACGAAAAAATAGATTTTATAAAGTAATACACTTTCACATTTGTGGTTTATAAAGCTGCCTTGAATTTTCCCCTAGGCATCAAAATTTTCGCAAAAATCTTTTATAAGTAACGGTGAATTTGAAGTCTCGGTGACGCGGTACTTTTTTATACTGTGACTGGTATTATCTAGATTTATGTTCGCTATTTGGCAGACTCTAATTTGAGTAATTAAATTCGAAATTGCTATTATTTGATCTTAAAATTTGAAACAATTCTTTATTTAACCAATCCTGGATGATTAAATTCATGATATATTTAAATATTAATATCATTATTTATATCGTGACTTCGTTATATATTTACTTCTCGAGCCTAGCCTAAGAAAGTATTGTAATGCTTTGAAATCTTACAAGATATTTTAAAGTTATCATAAGCAAGGTAAATTTTTAATCAAATTATATTTTCTTATCCTCTCAAAAAATTGATGACGTCGCTTCAAAATTTTGCCGAATAAACCCTATCTAAAATGTAGAAAATATGATGAGTACATGCCTGTGATTTACTATTCCGTTCGCATTTTTCAGATTTGCTTATACAGGGTGACTAAAAAAAATAAATAATGAATGCATGAATTTATTTTATGGATTAAATCAGGAACTGCAAAATCTTGCTGGTGTGTCTGTCACATTGATGATGTCATCTCAAAATTTTGCCGAATAAATTAATTTCGTTCAATTTCCTTCTTGGCTCACGACGAATAAAAAAAATCATCACAATCGAGGTAGGGTGGGTGGGCGGGGCTTATATTTCTCCATTTTTGTTCTTAATATAAGCAGTCATCTTTTCACAACAAAAACTTAAACCCGATGACTACGAAATATTAAGCAAAAAAGGCATAATATAACCCCCGCCCACCCGCCCTGTCTCAATCGTGACGATTTTTTCTTACCAGTTGTAAGTCGTGAGGCGGTACTTAATTGCAAAATCCTTGATTTTCTACGAAAAATTCTTGAGTAATCGTGTTGTTCAAAGCAAACTATATGTACTTATTAAGTAAAAAAAAAGCCAAAAGATAAGCCCCACCCATTCGTCTTAATTTCAATCTGGCTTAAAATTTTATTTAATATACATAGCATTCCTCGAATCATGTCTTACATCGTAATTTCTTGTAGAGAAATTAGAATTTTGCAATTAAGCTCCGCCCTCTTGGCTCACGACGAATAAAAAAATCATCACAATCGAGATAGGGTGGGTGGGCGGGGCTTATATTTTGCCATTGTTGTCCTTAATATAAATAGTCATCTTTTCACAACAAAAACTTAAAACCGATGACTACGCATAAAAAGGGCATAATATAAACCCCGCCCACCCGCCCTGTCTCAATCGTGACGATTTTTTCTTACCAGTCATAAGTCGTAGGGCAGTGCTTAATTGCAAAGTACTTGATTTTCTACGCAAAATTGCTATTTCTTGAGTAATCGTGTTGGTCAAAGCTAACTATATTTACTTAATAAGTAAAAAAGAAAGCCGAAAGATAAGCCCCGCCCATTCGTTTTGATCTCAGTCTGGTTTTAATTTTTACTTAATATACATAGCATTCCTTGAAACATGTCTTACATGGAAATTTCTTGTGAAGAAATAAGGATTTTTCAATTAAGCTCCGCCCTCTTGGCTCACGACGAATAAAAAAAATCATCACAATCGAGGTAGGGTGGGTGGGCGGGGCTTATATTTGCCATTTTTGTTCTTAATATAAATAGTCATCTTCCCACAACAAAAACTTAAAACCGATGACTATGCATATTAAGCAAAAGAGGCATAATATAAACCCCGCCCACCCGTCGTAAGTCTTGGGGCGGTGCTTAATTGCAAAACCCCTGATTTTCTACGAAAAATTGCTATGTGAAACATGTTCTTGAGTGATCGTGTTATTCAAAGCAAACCAAATGTATTAAGTAAAAAAGAAAGCCAAAAGATAAGCTCCACCTATTCGTCTTAATTTCAATCTGGCTTTAATTTTTACTTAATATACATAGCTTGCTTGAAACATGTCTTACATGGTAATTTCTTGTGGAGAAATAAGAATTTTGCAATTAAGCTCCGCCCTCTTGGCTCACGACGAATAAAAAAATCATCACAATCGAGGTAGGGTGGGTGGGCGGGGCTTATATTTTGCCTTTTTTTTTCTTAATAAACATAGTTATCTTTTCACGACAAAAACTTAAAACGGATATAAATTCCATCGGTGAGTCTATAAGCATTGCCTTCATATTTTATTCGAATTTTGATAACAAAAATCCAAAAGAAAAAATACTTGCTAAAATTTATTCAAAATGCATAACATGGAATCTCGTTTTTTTAAAATTCTGCTGAAACCATGGTAAAAATCAAGAGAAGTCACACATCTGGCGTACAAAAGCAAAAAACAACCGCTGATTCCTTGTTGACGAAAAAATATAACAAACAAATTAAATTAAATTGGCTAAAATTTAAAGCTTGCTCGAGCTTAATTCGGAATTTATTTAATGTTCTGACCTCCAGGACGCTCTATCATTGTTCTTTCACATTTAGTTGTCGAAGTTCTCATAAGTCTGTCCCACTTCAACACAGACATTACGTAACAGATCTCGAGCGAAGAGATCAATCAGATGGAAAGGAATCGAAACAAGTTCAAACTCGTACAAACTTGTTACAACCTTATAGCTACAGTTTTTTTTTTTTTAAGCTAAAAATTTAAATTGCATAACATACATAATGCACAATATTTAGTTAAAGAAGTTGACGACCTTTACTTTCACTTTTTTACATTCAAAACACAAAAATACAGACGCCATGACAACACTAACCGAATTAGCAACATATCTAAATTTTGAACGTCAGTAATTTTAATCTTGATTTTGATAAACCGGTCTGAGTTTACTTATGTTCTTAGAACACTGCTACATGTAAAATCAGAAAGCTACTTAAGTCGCTGTTTTAGTGACGCACGAGCGAAGTTTACTGGAGAGGATTTAGCCGAGTTCAAAAATCGCACGAGGGGGCTAAACATTTCGCGAACAAGTTACGAACAATCTTCTCTGTTTGTTGTTGCGTAAATATTCGTCATTTGGTTCATTCCGGTTCGAAAGAAAAGAGAAACTTTTTTAGAAAATTTGACAACATGAAAATTTGTATATTTTGTTGCCTCCAATTTTAAAGAAGCGGAAAAAAACATGCCTAGATTTCACACAAAAAAACAGAAAATTAAATCATTTTCCTTAATCCGGAGTGACACACCGGATCCCATAAAACTGTACAACCACATTTCAGTTTCGGCTAATATTTGAGCGCAAATTTGTTTTCCAGTTGAATTATCGTGAAAAAATCCGCAACCTTTCCATGACATCAGAAAAAACATAAATTAATCAAAACGGCAAATCTTATTGCCAACTACTTAATTACAATCAATTGCATCTGCTCCAGGCTGTTGTCAATCACCATTAAAAAATCGCGTCCATTTACCTACTTATCAGTGATTCAATGACTTAATCACAACACACACGTTAAAAAGCGAGTAAATAAACCATAAAAAGAGATTCCAAGCAAAGTCTGCTAATTTAAAAAACAACGTAAATACAACAAAACTAATAATATTTAACCAGGTGATAACACTATCAATTGTACTAGGCTCAACCGGGATTACGCTTAGTGCATCGATCATTATTACTATATTAACGAGTAATTATGGTAATAACCCCCTTAATCCCGCACCACGACAATCCCCCACATAAAAGATAAGTCAAAACCAACAGCACCACCCCCAATTAAATTCGCATTTGCGGGCCATAAATAATACGCGAATCCGGATTGTCTCTGCAAATTCACGTGAGTTTGTTTTCCGGACGCACAGGGATTCCGGTGTGACGTCAGAGGGCACGTGACCACCACCACCACTGCATATATAGCACGGGTGTTCATTGATGGAGGCAGTCTTCGAAAACATACGGTGTGCAACGCACGTGTTTTTGTTACGGTTTCTTCAATTAAAAAGTGAACACGAGTTCGATTAGTAGGTCATCGGGGAGAAAAGAAGTTATTGACAACATGCATCTGCAGAATGACGACCACCGATTCATGTGAGTAGGGGTGGTTTTGAATTTTCGGGGTTTGAAAATGGGGGTTGCGCTAAATGTTTATTAGGGCGGAAACACGAAAGTAAATTTATCGCTTTCTTTTTTTATTTTGGGATCGTGGACTGAAGTGGGTTTTTCAGTGGGATTTTTTCGCGGTGTGGATGATGCTGGTGTTGTTGGTGATTGACGGGTCACGTTTTGCTCATGATCTGTGATTTCTCTTTGATTGTTATCGAAAGTGTGCTACGAATTTAATTAGAATTGTTTGAAGCAAAGTCGGATTTTGTTTGTTTTCGAAAATTTTGACTTTTTTTGGTTTTGATGATGAATTATTTGTTGTTTTAAAGCCCTTCGCGTACTAAAAATTTGTATTAGTATTTTTTAAGACAACATTTTTATTTAAATAATATCAATTTCTTCAATATTGTATTAGTACCAACATTTAATTTATTATTTTTTTATCTATTTTGTAATAATTATGGTGTAATTTGAACTGTGTCTGTCTTATCGTTTAAATCTCTATTTAAGATAAAAAATGTGGAAAAAAATAGTTTGCGCAGAAAATGGATTAAAAATTCAAAATTATACACAGGGTGTTTCATCACAACTTAGGGGTTTTGGTAACGTACAAAACGTTGCACACATTTTAGTTATTAATTAATTTTATTTTCACATATTTCTATAACTTACAATTTTTCTATTGCGTTATTAGTTAATTACATATATATTTAAATAAAAAACTTTTAGGAAAATACGTTACATTACACATATAAATGAAATTTGTAACAAAAAAGAGGAATAAAGTTCAAAAAGAAATTTACTTCTGAGCTGCGGCAAAAATGTTTGTACATATACAGGGTGTTTCATTTTAACCGCGACTAGCACAAATGTCGCAAAAATCTGCAAAATATTCATACCTTTTCAATATTTTTTGAAAATTGACCTGTGTTAGAAGAACAAAATAATCATCAAATCAACAAATTTTAAATTCAAAATTTTTTGTTTCTATGTGAATTTCTAAAGAAATTTTGACGATCAGTTTAGATTAAATATTCTGTATTTACAACAGAAATAAATTTCAAAATTCAATCTACTCCACTTATGAGCTGAGATTTTTTTTTCTAATGTACAGGGTGTTTCTTTTTACCAGATCTATATACATTCCTTCAAAACCGCTATCTGCAAGTAGTACAAATTTGCCAAAAATCTACAAAATAATGTACAATTCGGATTAATAAAAATTTGTTTCAATTCTAAAAAAATGAACACCAATTTTGTATTTTACTTGTAGTATCCCATTTTTAATATTTTTTGAAAGTTAACCCCTGTTTGAATAACAAAATAGTCATCAAATCAATAAATTTTAAATTTAAATTTACTCAAAAATAATACCAAATTTTAGAAAAAAATTGCCTTCAATTCCGGTGATACTAAAAGAATAAATTCAGGTTTTTTGTGTTTCTATGTGAATTTATAAAGAAATTTTGACGATGAGTTTAGATCAAATATCCTTTATTTACAACAGAAATAAATGTTAAACTTCAATCCACTTCTCCACTTCTGAGCTGAGATAATTTTTTTTCTACATATACAGGGTGTTTCTTTTTATCAGATCTATTAACATTCCTTCAAAACCGCTACCTAAAAGTAGGAGATATTAATTTGGCAAAAACCTACAAAATGATGTATAATTCGGATTAACAAAAATTTGTTCCAATTCTGCGAATAATGAAAACGCCATATTTTAACTGGTATTATCTCATTTTTACGATTTTTTTTAATTGACCGATGTTGGGAAGAAAAAATAATCATCCATTCAACAAATTTTAAATTCGAATTTACTAAAAAATTATATCGTATCCAACTTTACAAAAAAAATTCTGTGCGTATAACAGAAATTCAGTGTTTTTTTGTTATATTTTGCCCTCTTTTCTTACTACACGTTTTTTCACAACAAGAATCTTAAAACCTATTCAAAATGGTAAATTTTTGTTGGGAAATATGTATTTTGCAGTTAGGCTCCGCCCCTCGGTCTAACAACGAATGAAAAATTCATCACAATTGAGGCACGGGCGGGTGGGTGGGGTTTAATTATTCTCATCTTTTTCTTAAGACATTAGTTTTCTTTCAAAAACACAATACTTGAAAGATGTTTCACAAGGTGATTTTTATAGAAAAATAAGGATTTTGAAATTAAGATCCGCCCTCTGACTCACGACGAATAAAAAAAAATCATCACAATTGAGACAGGGTGGGTGGGTGGGGCATATAGTTTTCCCTTTTTTCTTAACAGACGCAGTCTTCTTTTCGCAAGAAAAAACTTAAAACATGTTCAAAACGGTAAATTTTTGTAGGGAAATATGGATCCAGCAATTACGCTCCGCCCCTCGGTCTAACAACGAATGAAAACTCATCATAATTTTTCTTAACATATGGAGTTTTGTTTCGTCAACACGATAGTTAAACATGTTTTCAATTTTTTGTTGGAAAAAGACAACTTCGTATACTAAGAAAAGGTGACAAAATATAAGCCCCGCCCGCCCACCCAGTCTCAATTGTGATGAATTTTTTATTCATCGTGAGTTGAAGGACGGAGCTTAGTTGCAAAATTCTCACTTCTCTCCAAGAAATTATCATGTGCATATTTATTTATTAAAAGGGTAAAATTTTGGAGAAAAGTATAGATTTTGCAATTAAACTCCGCCCCTAGGTCTAATTACGAATGAAAAACTCAACACAATTGAGATCGGAGCTGGTGTTTTTTCTTAGTATATATAGTTTTCTTTCAACGACAGGATAATAGCAATTTTATGTAGTGAAACGGGGATTTTGAAATTAAGATCCGCCCTCTGACTCACGACGAATAAAAAAAAATCATACCAATTGAGACAGGGTGGGTGGGTGGGGCATATATTTTTCCCATTTTTCTTAATGTACGTAGTCTTCTTTTCACAAGAAGAAACTTAAAACATGTTCAAAACGGTAACTTTTGTAGGATTTCGCAATTACGCTCCGCCCCTCTGTCTAACAACGAATGAAAAATTCATCACAATTGAGGCACGGGCGGGTGGGTGAGGTTTAATTATTCTCATTTTTTTCTTAATACGTTAGTTTTCTTTCAACAACACGATATTTGATTTTTTATAGAAAAATAAGGATTTTGAAATTAAGATCCGCCCTCTGACTCACGACGAATAAAAAAAATCATCACAATTGAGACAGGGTGGGTGGGTGGGGTATATATTTTTCCCTTTTTTCTTAATAGACGCAGTCTTTTTTTCACAAGAAAAAACTTAAAAGTTGTTCAAAATGGTAAATTTTTGCAGGGAAATATGGATTTTGCAATTACGCTCCGCCCTTCGATCTAACAGCCAATAAGAAACTCATCATAATTTCTCTTAATATATAGAGTTTTGTTTCAACAACACGTTAGTTAAACATGTTTTCAGTTTCTTGTTGGGAAAAGAAACCTTCGTATATTAAGAAAAGATGGACAAAATATAAACCCCGCCCACCCACCCCGTCTCAATTGTGATGAATTTTTTATTCATCGTGAGTCGTAGGGCGGAGCTTTTTATTGATTAATAGGGTAAAATTTTGGAGAGAAATATAGATTTTGCAATTAAACTCCTCCCCTCGGTCTAATTGAAAAACTCAACACAATTGAGATCGTGGCGGGTGTTTTTTCTTAGTGTAATATACAGTTTTCAACAACAGGATACCTAAAAGCATATTTTGCATAGCAATTTTATATAGAAAAACGAGGAGTTTGAAGTTAAGATCCGCCCTCTGACTCACGACGAATAAAAAAATCATCACAATTGCGATAGGGTGGGTGGGTGGGGCTTATATTTTTCCCTTTTTTCTTAATATATGGAGTTTTGTTTCGATAACACAATAGTTAAACATGTTTTTAGTTTCTTGTTGGGGAAAGAAAACTTCGCATGTTAAGAAAAAATGGACATAATATAAACCCCGCCCACCCACCCCCTCCCAATTGCAATGAATTTTTTATTCATCGTGAGTCGAAGGGCGGAGCTTAGTTGCAAAATTCTCATTTCTCTACAAGAAATTACCAAGTGCATATAATAGCTATTGAAAGGGTAAAATTTTGTAGAGAACTATAGATTTTGCAATTAAACTCCGCCCCTCCGTCTAATTGAAAAACTCAACACAATTCAGATCGGGGCGGGTGTTTTCTCTTAGTACAGGGTCATCAAAATTGATTGAGAGAGTTGGTACCCCCTGTTTTTGTCGTGAAGTTTGTCAACCTTATGACAGATTTGTTTAAGGTTATATGGCAATGAATTCAGTGGCGTGACAAAAATTAGAAACTTCAAATCTGACAACTAATGTTTTTACTAAAAAAAAAAGTCGAAAAAAGACGCCACTGAGTTTTGAAATTTGAAACTTGAAACTTCAAATCTGACAGCTAATATTTTTATACAACTTAATAAACCAAATTATTCAAGTTCAGGTTTACCAACTCTCTCAATCAATTTTGATGACTCTGTATATATAACTAGTTTTATTTCTATAACAGGATACCTAAAAACACATTTCACATAGCAATTTTATGTAAAGAAACGAGGAGTTTGATATTAAGATCCGCCATCTGACTCACGACGAATAAAAAAAAAATCATCACAATTGAGATAGGGTGGGTGGGTGGGGCTTACATTATAAAAAACAATATATTTCCCATATCGAGCTACGCTCGAAACTATCTTACCTTATAAAATGATTACTCGAGGATAAAATAAAGGCTAACAACTTTTGTTTTATAAACGGTAGCACCCCTTTTTTGGTATCTTTAGTAATTTGACGAAAAACTAATCATCAAATCGCTAAATATTATATGTGACTTTGCTTGAATATTTTACGATACACATAAGCTTTCCAAAAAGTTTTTAAAGAAATTTTGACGAATCAGTTTAGATGAAACATCCTGTATTTACAACAGAATTAAATTTCACAACGTTTCTTCCATTTGAAGCCACACTCTATACAGAAAATAGCGTATTAAATAAAAAACCATGAGTTTATTAAGAGCGATGATAGGATTTTGTTTTAATCTGTTACACTTTTTTTGAAAGATGACCTTTATGGGACGAAAAAATAATCATCAATATATCAATGAAAGAAAAAGTGAAAGAGGTAATAAAATCAGGTTTATTATGTTTTTAAGCAAGTTTCTAAGAAAAATTTAACGAATCAGTTTAGATGAAACATCCTGTATTTATAACATAAATAAACTAGACAGGACTTTTCTGTTTAAAGACTCATCAATTTAAATTTCTTTACTCTAATCAACTACTTAATAAATACATAAAAATAAAAGTGCTCCATTTCCCGCAAAACCTGTACAAGAAACAAATTACACGAAAAAATTCACCAAATAAACTTGACTTACAAACGTCAGCAAAACTGGTTTCACCAGAAATATAACTAATTGTTGCTCTTTAACTACTAAAAAAAGAGTCAATTTGACGTAAGCACAAAATTCGCATTAAAACATTTGAGTCAATGTCAAATAAAAAATATTTTTGTGCAACTGTTTCCGTTCAACAATTTATTATTACCCGACGCCGCCACTGCTTGATAGTATCAGACCACTAAACACGCGACAAAACTTACAACTAACTAGTAACTTACTCAAATAAAAGTGGAACATTTTTAATACAAGTTCCGCTATCAAAACTATCCATGCAAATTTTAAGAATAAAGATAAATAAAAACACAAAAAGTACACATAACTTGGTATCACAAACCAGTCTAAAAACCACTTCGACAAAGTAAATCCAAAACTATAACGACATAAAAAAGTTTGCTATGTGGTAAGTTCATTACAATTTTTGATCTTCGCAAAACACATTTTACGCAACCTATACTATACAAACAAAACCAAGCACCCTATTTTCATTTTTGCGTAAAATTTTGATTTACAGGATGATTTATAGTGTGTGGAGTTCCAGTTTTGCTGCAGATAAGCTTAATCTAAAGTAGATCACACGTTATGTAATTTCGAAAATAAAACTTAAATTGCTAAAATGTCGAGAAATGAATGTATCATCGTCCAAATATGTATAACACTCTAAAACGTTTAACGAATACCGTACGCAACGCTCGGTGATAACAGCACATATCGACCGTAATGGTAGCACTACTTATCTTTTTTTTAATTAGAATCTACGCTATCTACATACACGTTACGTAAAAGCACAACCGAAGTACACCAAATAATAACTGATAAATATGTTATACCATTCCAAACGCAAAACATATATAATTACACTATTCCTTGAAATTCTTTGTTCCACGCGAACTTGATAAAATTTGCGTTGAAACATTCCAAAATCAACACATTTTATAGTTTCAACGACACCTTTCAGACCTTCACAACAATTTCTCCCGGACAAATAAAAACGCGTGCGAATAAATTAAATCACTCCGTCAACACACCACTAAAATAATATTATGCTAAAAATTAACACCAAAACAATGTAAATTTACATATCTTAACTGAAACTCCTATTTACCGTTTCTGCGCTTACTCATCCCGCTTAAAAGATAGCGACTACCAGCTTTGGGTAAATAAATCGGGATCAGGAAATTTCCCCGAACAATTTCCCCAAACAAAACACAATAAAATAAATCCGGGCAATTAGTTCGAAGACTAAACAAATCAAGGCCGAATCCATAACTCATTGTAGATTAACCAGATCATCAAAACAAAAGGGAGTACTCGAAAACGACAACAAGTAAATTCACCTTGGAACGGAATTAAACATCAAAATTCATAAAACCCGTTTACGGAAAAAGACATTGAAAGCAATCGATCTTGATCGCTATAATTTCCTTCCTGGGTAATTAAAATCGTCCCGTTGTTACAGGAACGTCATGAAGACCGAAAGTGACCTGATGGGCGAAGGTGGCGGCGGCTACGACAACCTGGGTAGTACCAGCCAGCGCAGTTCGACCACGATCGTTGACATCGAAAAACGGAACCAGTTTAAAGGCAGCGATGACTTCATTTGTAAGACCTAAATTCACCCACAAAATCGGGTACTTCTCACAATCCAGTTTCACACAGTGATCCCGAATGACGAATCCCCTTCGACGACTCAGGAGATCAAAGCCTGGGTGAAGCGAAAAGTCCAGCTCACCTGTACTAAGAAAATGTTACACAGAAGACTGCCAATCCTGGATTGGCTACCTAAGTACGATAGCAACTGCGCTATTGGTGACTTGGTAGCAGGAATTACGGTGGGGTTGACCATAATCCCGCAAGCTTTAGCCTATGCCAACGTGGCAGGACTTCCAGCTCAGTACGGCCTGTACAGTTCGTTCCTGGGTTGTTTTATTTATATCTTCTTCGGGAGTTGTAAGGATGTCCCTATGGGACCGACAGCGATCGCTGCTTTATTGACGTACCAGGCTGTGAATGGGAGGGGACCTCAGCATGCCATCCTCCTGTGCTTTTTGACGGGATTAGTACAAATCCTGATGGGTATTTTCGGGTTAGGTAAGTCTTCACACCACTACTCAAACCAACCAAAACTTACCTTTATAACCCTAGGGTTCCTCATCGACTTCGTCTCAGGCCCTGTATCGTCGGGTTTCACGTCAGCAGTCGCCCTAATCATTGTGACGTCGCAAATCAAAGACGTCCTAGGTATTACAGCGTCGGGTGGTACTTTTATCCAAACCTGGACCAGCATTTTCAACGATATCCACAACACCAACGTCTGGGACACCGTTTTTGGAATCACCTGCATCGCAGTTCTTCTAATAATGAGGGTAAGTACCACACGGTAAACAATAGCACCATTTAACTCAAGTTGTCTAGATTGTGGCAAAACTGAAAATCGGACCCTCTGATACCGACATTCCTCTAACCAAATTCCAAATCGTAGTGAACAAGACGCTTTGGTTGATCGGTACTTCGCGTAACGCTATTCTTGTAGTGGTTTGTGGTTTCATCGGCTACTCGTTTTGTCAAAATGGTGACCCACCGTTCAAGGTGATTGGTTACGTGCCAGCTGGACTACCCTCAGTGCAGGTACCACCGTTTGGTTACACTGAAGACAAAAATGGTACCACTATAACGCACGATCTGTGGGATATGATGTCGAATCTTGGTTCGGGGATCGTCGTGGTCCCTCTGATTGGACTTTTGGAAGACATCGCCATCTGCAAAGCGTTCGGTAAGTGGCTGCCAATCGTGAAAAGTACCCACTAACAGAGGTTTTATAGCAAACGGGAAGTCAGTCGATGCGACGCAGGAACTTCTAGCCGTGGGTTTATCCAACGTTGCTAACTCCTTCGTCCAGGCGTTCCCCGGTTCTGGGTCTTTGTCCAGAAGCGCGGTTAACAATTCCAGTGGTGTTCGTACCCCTTTGGGAGGTCTCTATACCGCGGTCCTCGTCATAGTGGCCCTCCTCTTCTTCACACCTTCCTTCTACTACATTCCAAAGAGTTGCTTAGCGGCGATTATCATAGCGGCTGTGGTCTTCATGGTGGAAGTCAAGGTGGTGAAACCCATGTGGAGGACCAAAAGTACGTCCTTAATACCATGTATGGGTACTCAAATAACCGACTTTTGTTACAGAAAGTGATCTCATACCAGGTTTGGCCACTTTTGTCGCCTGCTTAGCACTACCTCTAGAGTACGGAATCCTTATCGGAATCGGGATCAACCTGATGTTCATTTTGTACCACGCAGCACGACCCAAAATCTCCGTGGAAAAGCTAACAGTGAGTCAAAAGCGACTTTAAGTATCCCGTTTGTGACGATTTTGTTTCTAGAGCCATGAAGGTGTCGAGTACTTGATGCTAACCCCCGATCGCTGCCTGATTTTCCCTTCGGTCGACTACGTCAGGAATTTGGTGACCAAACACTCCATCAGACAAGGCATTCCGGTGGTCATCGACTGCTCCCACATCTACGGTGCGGACTACACGGCTGCCACGGTTATAGAAATTCTGACCCAAGACTTTGCTGCCCGCGATCAGCCTTTGTTTTTCTACAACCTCAAACCCAGTGTCAGTTCGGTGTTCGAGGGGTTGTCGCCGAAGGAGTTCGTCGTGTACTACAATCAAGAAGAGATTGATGAGCTTTTGAAGAATAAGGCGTACATGAAGAAGCAGATTTTTAATATTTAGGAATCTAGCGCCTGTCAGTATTTTAGGTTAAGTGTGTCTTAATTTATTGTTCTTCTTTTCTGTAAATAGTATCTGCGTGAACTTTAAGTCTGTGATAAGTGAAGAGTTTTGTATTGAATAAAAAATTAAGATTTACGTTTTCGTTTTTATCGGTACAACTAAAAACTATGCTAACCTTGGAACAAAAAAAATGAGTTATTTTCACTAAAAATGATAACTTGGATAACGCGAAATATATGATAAGTAGTACCTTGGATATTCCAAGTTATCAACACCAGTAAACATAGAACAAACCCTGAGTATAAAATAATGCACACAACGCAAACCAATAATAACCAAAATGGTGTTAGCCACATTGGTACTACTTCGTCTGTCGACACAGAAGACAACAATGACTTTATATGTACGTAAGATCTAGGTAAATCTTGTCTAATCATTTCTCTTTAGTGGCGAATACAAGCAAAAGCAGACCAAACTGGGTACGACGACGAATTCATGGTGCATGTTCCAAGAAAACCCTCTATAAAAGAATCCCAATTCTGGGCTGGATACCACAATACAATAAGAACTGTGCGCTTTCTGATTTTGTAGCGGGAGTCACCATTGGTTGTACAGTGATCGCCCAGGGTCTAGTTTTCGCCATGGTTGCTGGGGTACCACCACAGTACGGACTCTACACTTCCTTTATGGGTTGCTTCGTCTACGTAGTTTTTGGTACTTGTAAAGCCAGTGCAGTAGGACCTAGTATTATGACAGCAGTACTAATTTTCGAAACTATTGGGGGAAAAGGGCCACAATATGGTATACTTTTGTCCTTCCTGACCGGACTAATTCAACTTCTGTTAGCTGTTTTGGGCTTCGGTTTTCTGATAGACTTCATTTCGACACCTGTTATGTCGGGTTTCGCTTGCGCAGGAGTCCTGTTTACAGCAACCACTCAAATCCATAACCTGTTTGGAATGAAAGCGCCAAATCGTAACTTCATACCAACTTGGGTAGATTTTATTACCAACATTAGTCAGACTAATTTTAAAATCTGGGACACCGTTCTTGGAATCACCTGCTTACTGATATTAGTACTATTGAAAGTTCTAGAAAAAATTCTAGTACCACTTGGCAAGCTACAAAAATTGTTTAGTGCAATAAATATTGCAGGTAACTTAATTGTCATCATAACCACTACTATCATTAGTTACTATGTTGGAGAGAACGAGGAGACACCGTTTCGTCTAACTGGATACGTACCATCAGGGTTACCAACTATACAGGTTCCTCCTTTCAGTTACCAAACTGTGTCCAACGCAACGACGACGTTCCGGGAAATGGTTGCAGATCTTCATCTAGCGATTTTCGTGATACCTTTCATGGGGTTCCTTGAAACCATCACGGTCTGTAAAACATTCAATGAAGACGCACTTTCTGTAGATGCCACACAAGAATTTCTAGCCATAGGTTTATCCAACGTGATGGGTTCTTTTCTGCAAGCACTACCATGCTCTGCTGCTTTGGGTAGAAGTGCCATCAACTACTCCAGTGGGGTTAAAACCACACTCGGAGGTTTATACACCGGGGTACTTGTTCTACTAGCACTGGTTTACCTCACACCGTACTTCTACTACATTCCAAAAGCAACTCTAGCATCCGTAATCATTGCGGCTTGTACTTCGGTACTGAAAGTCGAGGTGGTGAAGCAGATGTGGCGAACCAAAAGTAACAAAGTACTAGACGTAAATTTTAACAAAAATATGTTTTTGTAGAAAGTGACTTGATACCAGGGTTGACCACTTTCGTGGTGTGTTTAACTTGGTCTCTCCAGTACGGGATTCTGATGGGTGTGGGGGTTGATTTGTTGTCCATCGTGTACCACGCAGCAAGACCGAAAATTTATATGCAGAAGACAAAAGTAAGTCGACTATTTGGTGTTTTTAAATTAATTAAATTGTTGTAGAGTTCGAAGGGGATAAAATATTTGTTGGTAACGCCAGATCGGTGGTTAGTTTTTCCCTCGGTCTACTATGTCAAAAATTTGGTTACTAAGTGCTCGGTACGACACGGGGTTCCAGTTGTTTTGGATTGTTCTCACATTTATGGGGCTGATTATACAGCTGCTATTGTCATCAGGAATTTAATACAGGATTTTGTAAAGCGACACCAGCCACTATTTTTCTATAATCTTAGACCTAGTGTTAGTTATATAGTGAGTAGTTTATCAGTCAAGGACTTCTTCGTTTACTACAATCTGGACGAATTTGACGACGTTTTGAAGACGTGGTGTGCAAACAAAGAGAGTGTGAGAGGGCAGAAAAATCAACTCTATTAGGAAATGTTTATAAATTATGTACATATATAAATAAATCCGTTCATTATTTCAAAACCAGGACTATATTCAGGGGGCCAAATTATATGCACAAAATAATTCGACATGAAGAATACTTGTTTCCTGTAAATGATTAAACATTATCTTCTATAGAGTCCACTTATGTCTACATTACAATAATTTTCCACTTTACACAGTGATACGTTCATAAGATCATAAAGTCAGCTGACGTGGGTGAAGGTGCTCCCTATTTTATAGTGTTTTAACACACTGCATTGTCGATTTTGGTATATTTGTGATAATCCTGTTGATCTGTATTGGCTATCGTAAGTTAATTTATATCTATTTGTGTGACAACGTATAATTTAAAAATCTAAAAAAAACATATTTTACTCTGTTGGCCGTAAAAATGTTGGTCATTTCTAGGGTAACCGGAAACACCCTGTAACACAATACTTAAATTTATCAGTATTTTTAGCATTTAGGTACTTTAATTTCATTTAATAGTTAAAATTTAAAAAAGTACCTTGGAAATATAATTTTCCAAATTATTTAAATTTAAAATTGTTTAACTTATTTTTCATTAAAAACTGGTTATAGCCAGATACCTGCGACGCAGGAGTTGATCAATTTAAACGAAAACTGTCTCAGCTTCGTGATCCATTATTAATTAAATTTATTAATATTTTAAGTACGAGTATAGAATTCTTCTGAAAATTTCGTTCTTTTTTTTTAATATAGTGTAATGTTTTCAAAATCCACTCACTCACTGCTGCAGAAGTATAATATTTAAAGAAAGAAATATCAAGTAAAAAAAAATGTCATTGTATTTTTATTTTTGAACTTGATTTAAATTATCAAAATTTCACAAACTGCATCGCTGCCTCCAAGAGTATTCGCAATTAAAATCGTAACTTTCACGATCTGCTAATGGTTAACCAACGAATTTAATAATATTTCCGTCACTAAATAATAGCTAGGAGTATTATTTTACAGTAGCATAAATTATTATTATTAATTCTGTCTGCAAGATGTTTTTACTTCCCAAGCGTAAGCTAGGAAGAGTATGAATAGGTCTCCCGTTTCCGTCTGTTTGTCGTTTCTCTGTCTGTCTGTGTGTCTGTCGGTATTTTAAGAACATCGAATATTTGATATTCCATAGTAAACATTATTTAAATTTCCATACATACATCTATGTTTTACTTTCTTCTTTGTAATTTCTTATAGCCTTTTTGTCTTGCTTTATTGTCACTTTTTATAATCACCAGGTACAATTTTTGTGAATTTTTCGTAGTCTTTTTTTGTTTTTTTTTTGTAGTCGCCTTTTTTTTTGTTAATTTGTTGTCTCATTTTTTGAGTCTCTTTTGATCGCATTATGGCATTTTTAGCTCCCTTCTCGATCGTTTTTTTTTCGATTTTTGTATGGACTTATTCTCCTTTTTTATTTTTTGTTAATTTTGCCACGTTTTTTGGCCTTTTTTTATCGTCTTTTCTGTCAACTTTTGTAATCGCTTTCGTTATTGAATTTTGTTCATCCTCAGTTTTTGGAACCTTTTTTTGTGGACTTTTTGCCGTGTTTTCTTTGTAACGTTTTTTTTTTTGTTCCTTTTTTATGCCCTTTTTTAACTTCCTTCCGTTAGCGTATTGTTTGCAACCTTTTTTAGTCCTATATTTTCGCATTTTTTGTTGTCTTCATTTTGTGACATTTTTATTATTCCCTTCGGTTAGTTGCATTTTTTCTCTTTTTTTTTATTCCCGTGGGTTACTCACATTTTTCTGACCTCTTTTTTGTCGTTTTTTTTAACACCTTTTTGTAGATTTTTTGTGGCTTTTTGCCCTTTTTATCGTCCTTTTTTGTCACTTTTTATAGACGCCTTCATTGTTGAATTTTGTTCAGTCTCTGTTTTTGTAGCTTTTTGTGGACTTTTTGTCGCTTTTTGTACTGTTTTTTTGTTCTTTTGTAGTTGCATTTTTTCGATTTTTTTATGGACTTATTCTCCTTTTCTATTGTTTACTTTAATTTTATTTTTTGTGACCTTTTTTGACACATTTTTTTTTTGTAATTTTTTTGTACGTTTTTTGGCCCTTTTTTGTCGTCTTTTCTGTCAATTTTTGTAATCGCCTTCATTAAAGACTTTTGTTCGTCCTCAGTTTTTGGAGCCTTTATTTGTGGGCTTTTTGTTTTTTTTGTAGCGTATTTTTTGCTTCCTTATTTGTGCTATGTTCTAATTTTCTTTTTTGTGCCAAAAAATACGACAAAAAGAAGAAAGTTAAAAAATGAAGTTAAAAAAAATGATCAAATGCACTTTTTTAATGCATTTGATCATTTTTTTTTGTCCTTTGCTTTTGCTTTTCTGTTTTTGTGACTTTTTGTTCCTTTACTTTCTTTTTTAACGCTTTTTTGTATTCGGTTTCCTTTTGTTTCTTCGTCATTGTTTGTAGTCACCTTCTTTCTAGAATTTTTTTTCCTCTATTTTGGTAGCCTTATTTGTGGACTTTTGTAGACTTTTTGGTTCCCTGTTTGTGAACTTTTTGAGGCCTTTTTTGACTCCCTTCTTTTAGTCGTATTTTCTCATTCTTTTTATGGATTTTTTTGTCCTATACTTTTGCATTTTTTGTTGTCTTGTTTGTTTTCTTCTATTCCCTTGGGTTAGTTGCAATTCTTGTGGCCTCCTTTTATCGTTTGTAAACACTTTTTAGGAATCTCCCTTTTGTGAATTTTGTTCATTCTCTGTTTTTGTGGACTTTTGTCACTTTTTGTAGTGTTTTTTTTTCTTTTGGACCCCTTTTTTTAGCGCATTTTTTGTCGCATTTTTGTCGCCCCGTTTTTGGTCACATTTTTCCGATTTTTTATGGACTTATTCTCCTTTTCTATTATTTTAATTTATTTTTTGTGGCCTTTTTTGACACTTTTTTTTCTTATTTTTTGTGCGTTTTTTTCTTGTCGTCTTTGTGTCAATTTTTGTAAACGCCTTCATTAAAGAAACTTGTTCGTCCTCAGTTTTTGAAGCCTTTATTTGTGGGCTTTTTTTTGTAGCGTATTTTTTGGTTCCTTATTTGTGCTATTTTCTAACTTCCTTCTTTTAGCCTTTTTTTGGCATCCCTTTTAATCAATTTTTTAATGCTTTTCATCATTTTTTCTCCTTTGCTTTTGCATTTTTGTTTCTGTTTTTGTAACTTTCTTCCTTTTTTTTTTCTTTTTTAACACTTTTTTGTATTCGGTTTCCGTTTGTTTCTTCGTCATTTTTTGTAGTCACCTTCTTTCTAAATTTTTTTTTTCTCCTCTATTTTTGTAGCCTTGTTTGGGGACTTTTGTAGTTAAAAAACTACATACCACAAAAAATTGTGGACTTTTTTTGTTCTCTTTTTGTGAACTTTTTGAGGCTTTTTTACTCCCTTATTTAGTCGCATTTTCTCATTTTTTATGGATTTTTTTCTCCTACACTTTTGCATTTTTTGTTCCCTTGTTTTTGACTTCTTTCTCCTTTTTTTCGTAGCTTTTTTTGTGACATTTTTTTATTCCTTTATGTTAAGTGCATTTTTTCTGTTCTTTTGTATTTTTATACTTTTTGACACTTTCACTGCTAAGTTTTGTTTGTCCTCTGGTTTTTTAGTATTTTTTGTGGATTTTTGTGATTTTTTTGTACTGCTTTTTGTTCTCTTTTTGACTCTCTTCTTTAGTTGCATTTTTTGGCCACCTTCAATTTTGTAGTGACCTTTTCCTCATTTTTTGTCCTCTGTTTTTTGCATTTTTTGTTGCCTTATTTGTGTCGTTTATCTTTGTCTTTTTTTTGTTTTATTATTTTTGTGACAGTTTTCTTCTATTCCCTTGGGTTAGTTGCAGTTCTTGTGACCTCCTTTTATCGTTTGTAAACATTTTTTCGGAGTCGCCCTTTTGTGAACTTTTTTTGTTTTTTTCCTTTTGTATCGTCTTTTTTGTCACTTTTTATGGGCGCCTTCATTGATGAATTTTGTTCATTCTCTGTTTGTGTGGACTTTTGTCACTTTTTTGTAATGTTTTTTTTTTTCTTTTGGACTCCCTTCTTTTAGTCGCATTTTTTATTGTCTTGTTTGTGGCTTTTTTCTCCTTTTTTCGTAGTCTTTTTTTATTGCCTTATTTTTTGTGATTTTTTTTATTCCCTTTGGTTTGTTGCTTTTTTCTGTTCTTTTGTAGTTTTTCTACTTTTTTGACACTTGTTTGTGTTGTGACAATTTTCTTTTATTCCCTTGGGTTAGTCACATTTTTTCTGATCTCTTTTTTGTCGTTTTTTAACACTTTTTTGAAGTCGGCTTTTGTAGACTTTTTTTCCTTTTTATCGTCTTTTTTTGTCACTTTTTATAGACGCCTTCATTCTTGAAGTTTGTTCATTCTCTGTTTTTGTGGCTTTTTATAGCGTTTTTTGTTCTCATTTTCACTCCCTTCTTTTAGTCGCATTTTTGGCCCCTTTTTAGTCACTTCTGTAGTGGCTTTCCCCCCATTTTTTTTTTCTCCTCTGGTTTCGCTTTATGTTACCGTTTTGTGACTTTTTGTCCCTTCTTTGACCCATTTTTTCTTTTTCTGTGACCTCTTTGTCGCTTTTGTGCATTCGTTTTTCCTGTTTTTGTAGTTACCTTCTTTGTTGATTTTTTTTTTGTAGCATTTTTTTTATTCTTTTAGTGACTTTTTTGTCGCCTTTTTTTAACTCTCTTCTTTCAGTCGCATTTTGCGGTGCCTTTTTGGCTTGTTTTGTAGTCTTTTTTTGCAATACATTATCTTTATGTCATCTTTTTTGACTCCCTTGGATTAATCGCATTTTTCCTGTCATTTTTGTGGGTTTTTTGGTTTTCTTCACACTTTCTTGCAGTTGCCTCTTTTTGTAGACTTTTTGCTCTTCTTTATCGTTTTTGTTGTCACTTTTTATAGTATCCATTTTTTATCACTTTTTGTAATAATCTTTTTTTGTCACATTTTATGTGGATTTTCTTTGTCTCGTTTTCTTGTAGCGGTTTTTTCTTGTTTTCTTTTTGTTGCCTTTTTTGCCTCCCTTCTTTTAGTAGTGTGTTATTGTGACATTTTTTGACCGCCTTCTTGTCTTTTTTTGTGTCCTTTTTTGCTCTCGTTTTTATGGCCTGTTTTTCACAGTTTTTGCTGTTTTTCTTGGCTTTACTAAAAAGTTTATTAGCACAAAATTTTATTATAAAAAAACTCACTTGAAACACACACATAACACGCTTCTTTACTATTAAATAGTTTACAGTGAACACCTAGTCGCAAAATAAATACCAATAAACCTTTTTTTGTGCAGCTACTTTAACTATGACTTCAAAATTGCAAAATGGTACCGGCAACCATACTACCCACACTTCGGACATCCTTTCCAAAGATACACCCATCGAAGACTTACCCCACATCAACAGCAGCAACGAATTCATCCGTAAGTACCACGACTTACCCAAAACTAAAATTCCACTACAAACATTTCAGTAACAAATCCCAACGAAAACTACATAGTACCAATCAAAAAATGGCTACAACAGACTTTCTCCAAAAAACTACTCCTCAAAAGAATCCCAATTTTGAGCTGGTTACCAAACTACGACAAAACTTCCGCAGTTAGCGACTTCATCGCGGGAATAACAGTGGGTTTGACCGTAATTCCTCAAGGTTTAGCGTACTCGAGTATCGTAGGGGTACCACCTCAATACGGACTTTATAGTTCGTTCGTGGGTTGCTTAGTCTACATCATTTTCGGAAGTTGCCCTGAAACTGCAATCGGACCCACGGCAATGGCAGCAATGCTCACTGGTGACGCCATCAAGGGCAAAGGACCGCAGTACGCCACCCTGCTATGTTTGCTGACAGGAATCGTGCAAGTGTTGATGGGTCTTTTTAAGTTTGGTAAGTAGTACCTACATCTGGACTTCAATAAATCAATACTCTTTCCATTAAGGTTTCTTAATCGACTTCATTTCTGGGCCAGTGTCGTCGGGGTTCATTTCGGCTTCAGCCATCGTCATTCTAACCTCCCAGATGAAAGATATTTTGGGAATTCAAGCATCAGGGGACTCCTTTGTAGCCATTTGGAAAGAAGTTATCGAAAATATTGAAGACACGAAAACATGGGATGCGGTTATGGGTTTTATTTGTTTAATCGTGTTACTAATAATGAGGGTTAGTCACCTTTTATGGTTTACTCTTGGGATAAAACTGGTTTTTAGGGTATCGGTAAATTGAAGATTGGACCTTCAAACAAGGACGTTCCTCTTAACAGAACACAACAATTCCTCAACACTACCTTCTGGTTAATAGGAATAGCGCGCAGTACCATCGTTGTGGTTATTTGTACCTATATTAGCTACTACCAGAATCGGGAAAACGAAAACCCGTTCACTATCACAGGCTACGTTCCCTCAGGCTTTCCAACCATCCAACCTCCATCTCTCCATTACATAGAAGTGAAAAACAACACAGTTGTAAAATACGAAAATTTCTTTCACATGGTGACCGATTTGAGTTGTGGAATATTCGCGGTACCGCTGATTGGGCTTTTGGAAGATATTGGGGTTTGTACCGCCTTTGGTACCAACTACAGTACGACTACTACTTTAGTACTAATACGTGTTTTCACAGCCAATGGTAAACCTGTAGATGCTACCCAAGAATTTATAGCTGTAGGTCTGTCCAACGTTGCCAATTCTTTCGTCCAAGGGTTTCCCGGTACGGGTGCTTTGGCAAGAAGTGCCGTGAACCACTCGAGTGGGGTCAAAACGACATTCGGTGGTTTCTACACTGGTGCTCTTGTAATATCATCACTTTTTTTCTTCACCCCGTATTTTTATTACATCCCGAAACCAACCCTAGCGGCTATTATCATAGCAGCGTCTATATTCATGGTGGAATATAAAGTAGTACGACCGATGTGGAAGGCTAAAAGTGATTTTACAAACTCTTTAATGGGTTCCAAAAATGATAGTACTTTTCAGAAAGTGACTTGGTACCAGGCATAGCTACGTTTATTGGTTGTTTGATTCTACCTTTCCAGTACGGGATTCTCATAGGTGTCGGGATTAACCTAACGTCCATTATGTACCACGCAGCAAGACCTAAAATCTCCATGGAAAAATTGAGGGTGGGTTTTCCTCGGTAACTAACTAACACTCTTCAAACTACGTTTGTTTTTAGAGTTCCGAAGGAGAAAACTATTTGTTGTTGAAGCCTGATAGGTGTTTGATGTTTCCGTCAGTTAACTATGTTAGACATTTGGTGACCAAACACTCTCTAAGACAAGGGATTCCCGTGGTGATTGACTGTACTTACATTTATGGGGCGGACTACACTGCTGCCACCGTTATCAAAATTTTAACTGAAGACTTCGCATCGCGTAAACAACCTTTGTTTTTCTATAACATCAAACCCAGTGTGGGTTCTGTGATTCATACTTTAGCGACGGAAGAATTTCAGGTTTACTATGATTGTGACGAATTCGATGAAATGTTGAGACGGTGGCGAATAAAAAGAAACATGCAGACAGAAGATTTGTAAAAAGATGTGCTGTATGTGTGTTAATTAAAAAGTTGAATTTTAATTGTGAGTCAGTCAAACCCGATTTACTTTATCTGAGTAATCTCATAACTGTTAAATTGTGGTAGAACCAGTTAACGATTACAATCCTAACATGAACTGTAAATTTACAAATAGTACAACAAATTTACACCATGTAAACTTAATCTAATTACCTTATCTCGTCCTTTCACTTACACTAAAACCAAACAACAATGACGCGTCGCATCTCTCTACCAAGCAAACCAACTTCTACCAATCCTCTCACTAGATACTACCCAGAAATTCCCTAGGAGAGGTACCAACTACCAGAAATGAACTAAACTTGCACATGGTTGCTTATGTTTAACGCTTTTCTTGATTAAGTTTTTTTCAGCGTGAAATTTTGAATCAAATTTGGTCACCACAATCTACGCTATCCAAATTTTGGAAGTTTTTGACACGCAAAGATTTTTTTTCTGTAGAGTTTTCGATATTTGACAAACTTGAATCATTTAACTTGTTTGACATTTTTAAATAAAAAGTTTAACATTTGTTTCTGACCTTTTTAACACTTTGAATTTTTTTATTTTTGTTGTCAATTTTAAGAATCTTGTTGTTTTTGACAATTTTGAACTCTAATTTTTATTGGCATGATTTTCGAGGTCTTACTGTGAAGGTATTAATTTAGCTAATAATTTAGCTTCTCATAGCTTCTCAGAGACACTATGTCATTCGCCAAAATCAGTCTTATCTTAGCAAGTACTAGACCCGCCCACCCGCCCCTTTTTTTTTTCGAGGGTATTTCATTTGCCAAAATCAGTCTTATCTTAGCAAGTACTAGCCCCGCCCACCCGCCCTTTACTTTCTTATTAGAAGGTATGTCATTAGCCTCGATATTCATTTTAAATAACACAGATTAATGCAACCAACGTTACGTGACGTGAACACGAACGAAAATGGAAATTTTTCCGAAAAGGACCGAAAACAGGGTAAGTTCGACTTCAGTTTTAATTTATCGGATTCCGTGATTCGTTCACTCGACAATGTTTAAATTTTGGGAATTGGATTGAAATCGGTTGATCAAAGCTATACATTTTCACGTCGTTCAATTCAAACTGTAAAATTTTTATATAATATTCTCAATAACAAAATTGAATGCTCTTATATACTTAATAGAATCCCATTTTTAGTACCCAGAAAAAATTCTCGAAACAGTCTTACATTTTATTGTCCTAAATATAGAACCAATGTATTACTAAAAGCGCCAGTTAGTTTAATGTGTAATCACTTTAACCTGATTAGATATCATTGTGACATTAATTATGATTCTTTGAAACACTTAATTGACATCACCATACACATCTTAGAAACATAAGTTTATTATTTTTTATTATGTTTATCTATTATTATTGTACTTATTATTAATTTAGAATAGGAGCACGTCACCGTATTTCTCTTTTTTTTTCCTTTTTTTTTTAATTTTGAATTAATCTTTCTGTTATATTATTTTTCCTGTAATTGGGTGGTTGTCTAACCCGTTGGAAATAAATGCATTATTATTATTATTATTAAAAAAAAATAAAATTTAAACATAATTAATATAATTCATAATGTTTAAATATGATAACTATTAATATATGATAATTAAACCGAAAACCATTTTCCTAAGAACACGTGGTTAGCAAAAACAAATTAGTTTGTTTAAACGTTGTTAAATTAACCCCAAAAATGTACAATTTCTGAGCTAAAATATAAAAAATAATTTTTGCTATCTCATCGTGACGTACGATGACGTCACTGTCAGGTGAACTACCTGATAAAAGGTTCATTTTTCCGTCCTCTGTGTTTAGTTTTGATTCCGGTCTGGTAGCAACAACACTGGAGCTCCGTTTTGGGTTAAAAGTAGCACGTGTTGGCGAATTTCTAATTAATTGTTAATAAAATTAGCGAAAATGTTTTGTGTTAACTGGTGTGAATACGAAGGATAGTGGATATTTTTCCGAAAAGGCCGAAAATCATTGTAAGTACGATTTGAGTTTTAATTTATTGGGTTCCCTGATTTGTTTACTCGACAATGTTTAACTTTTCGGAAGATTCATTTTTATTTATATAGATTTAGTAACTGCGAAAAACGAGAGAATAATTTCCAAAAATTTTCCAAAAAAGTGAAAACGGACTCTCTTCGACATTAAAAAGCGCTATCGTATACTCGTAGTCTGGGGAGATTGCGAATCTGAGCCATTTTAATTAGGTATACATCTTCAAATAATTTGTAAAAAAAGGAAGTTAATTTCCAAAAATTTTCAACGAATCTAAAGATAGCCTTTCAAATAACTCGAAAAACGGGCAAAGAGTTTTTGAAATTTTTTGACATGAAACTTTTAGTCGAATTTCGAAAAATCTGCCAAATTTGTTTCTTGTTGTCGGTAGAAAAACGAGAATAATTAAAAAAATCCAAAAATGTGTTAAAATGGGATAGTCGAATGAAAAAACACTGGCTTATAATTCTCCTTTGATTACCAAGATGAAATAAGTTTTATTTATAATACTTATTTAAATAACTGCGAAAAACGAGAGAATAATTTCCAAAAAATTTCCAAAAAAGTAAAAAGGGACTTTCGTCGAAATTAAAAAAGCGGCGTCTTATATTCAGTTCTGGGGAGATTGCGATTCTGAACCATTTTAATTATACATCTTATATCATTCATAAAAAATTTCAAAAAAAAGGTGAAAACGACCTCGATCAAAATTAAAAAGTCTCGTAGACGCTACTTTGTATGTTACGAATCTAAAGATGACCCTTCAAATAACTCGAAAAACGGGCAAATAGTTTTTGAAATTTTTTGACATAAAACTTTTAATCGAATTTCGAAAAATCTGCCAAATTTGTTTCTTGTTGTCCGTAAATAAACGAGAATAATTAAAAAAATCCAAAAATGTGTTAAAATGGGGTCTAGTCGAATGAAAAAATACTGACTTATAATTCTCCTTTGATTACCAAGATGAAATAAGTTTTGTTTATAATACTTATTTAAATAACTGCGAAAAACGAGAGAATAATTTCCAAAAATTTTCCAAAAAAGTTAGAAACGGTCTTTCGTCGAAATTAAAAAAGCGGCGTCTTATATTCAGTTCTGGGGAGATTGCGAATCTGAACCATTTTAATTATACATCTTATATAATTCATAAAAAATTAAAAAAAAAAAAGTGAAAACGACCTCAATTAAAATTAAAAAGTCTCGTAGACCCTGCTTTGTATGTTACGAATCTAAAGATGGCCCTTCAAATAACTCGAAAAACGGGCAAATAGTTTTTGAAATTTTTTGACATGAAACTTTTAGTCGAATTTCGAAAAATCTGGAAAATTTGTTTCTTGTTGTCGGTAGATAAACGAGAATAATTAAAAAAATCCAAAAATGGGATATAGTCGAATGAAAAAATACTGGCTTATAATTCTCCTTTGATTACCAAGATGAAATAAGTTTTATTTATAATACTTATTTAAATAACTGCGAAAAACGAGAGAATAATTTCCAAAAATTTTCCAAAAAAGTTGAAAAGGGACTTTTGTCGAAATTAAAAAAGCGGCGTCTTATATTCAGTTCTGGGGAGATTGCGAATCTGAACCATTTTAATTATACGTCTTATATAATTCAAAAAAAAATTTCAAAAAAAAGTGAAAACGACCTCGATTAAAATTAAAAAGTCTCGTAGACGCTCCTTTGTATGTTACGAATCTAAATATGGCCCTTCAAATAACTCGAAAAACGGGCAAATAGTTATTGAAATTTTTTGACATTAAACTTTTAGTCGAATTTCGAAAAATCTGGAAAATTTGTTTCTTATTGTCGGTAGATAAACGAGAATAATTAAAAAAAATCCAAAAATGTGTTAAAATGGGATATAGTCGAATGAAAAAATACTGGCTTATAATTCTCCTTTGATTACCAAGATGAAATAAGTTTTATTTATAATACTTATTTAAATAACTGCGAAAAACGAGAGAAAAATTTCCAAACATTTTCCAAAAAAGTTCGAAACGGGCTTTCGTCGAAATTAAAAAAGCGGCGTCTTATATTCAGTTCTGGGGAGATTGCGGTTCTGGACCATTTTAATTATACATCTTATATAATTCATAAAAAAATTTCAAAAAAAAAAAAGTGAAAACGACTTCGATTAAAATTAAAAAGTTTCGTAGACGCTCCTTTCTCCTTTGTATGTTACGAATCTAAAGTTGGCCCTTCAAATAACTCGAAAAACGGGCAAATATATTTTGAAATTTTTTGACATGAAACTTTTAGTCGAATTTCGAAAAATCTGACAAATTTGTTTCTTGTTGTCAATAAATAAACGAGAATAATTAAAAAAATCCAAAAATGTGTTAAAATGGGATGTAGTCGAATGAAAAAATACTGGCTTATAATTCTCCTTTGATTACCAAAATGAAATAAGGTTTATTTATAATACTTATTTAAATAACTGCGAAAAACGAGAGAATAATTTCCAAAAATTTTCCAAAAAAGTTAAAAAGTGACTTTCGTCGAATTTTAAAAAGCGACGTCTTATATTCAGTTCTGGGGAGATTGCGAATCTGAACCATTTTAATTATACGTTTTATATAATTCATAAAAAATTTTCAAAAAAAAAGTGAAAACGACTTCGATTAAAATTAAAAAGTCTCGTAGACGCTCCTTCGTATATTACAAATATTTCAAATAACTCGAAAAACAAATATTTAATATGACAGGAGTCTTTAAAATACGTAACTTTGTAATTGTGGGGATTTTCAAGCGATTTTATGATTTTTAATATATAAAAAAGGGAAAAAAACAGAAGACACACCCTTGGATCGAAAAAAGTCCTCTAGTAAGTCATGGAATTTATTTTTAAAATGAACATATTGGCAGCACTGACGCTTTGCTTGACTGTCCTTGACAGTTACGATCAAATGACAGCAATACCAACATCATTATTCTAAAAATATATTCCCTGGCCAGCCAGAATTATTTCTATAAGGAATTCACGTTCGGTAGATGTAACTAGATTTGGTAACTTTTTTTTTTAAGCTGTGTAACTGCGGACATAATTGTTCTAGTGTATAATGTATAACTGGAATGTCAGAAAGTAGGTATCAAAAATGTGACATGTAAGTAAGTAAATGGCAAATATCGAAAATGTGATGGTTTTGTGGTGATCTGCTGAATCTACTTTTGAATCCAGGAGAAAATTGCATCCCTCTAAAAGCCCAAAGAGCAACCCGCATGTAAAATTGTGAATCTTTTCCCTTCACTAGTTATTTTAGGAGGACAAGCTTTGATGTCATCATCATGGATCCGCAATTTTACCATGGATCGGTTTTGGTATATCCATGTCTCATCCAAGAAAATGAAAAGTAAATCTTCACCACTATCACGCAATTAGAGATACCGCTTTAGAAATTTGATTCTGGTACCTATTTAATGTGAAAACCTTCGCCTTCGGAAACCCAAATTTATACGTGTACGTATTACGGACAATTATTCTCCAAGCCGAGTATTTTCCCTTTTACAAAACAATAACGATTATATAAAACTAAAAAACCAATTGTAGAGTGGACCCAACACAGCATGTAGGTATATAAATCTGGGCAGTCGTCTTTCTGATTCTGAGTATAATATTAACGGCACCGACGCCGTTGTATCGGTATTATTTTAAAATTCGAAAAACACTCGAGAACACTAGCGAACTTTACGGAAAATATTTCTGCCACCAGTTTAACTGTTTCCGTTTTACCAAAGCATTGTCTATTTTTCCCAGTAATTTTTTCAAAACCACGAAATATTTCTTGTTTCTTTTCCTTTAAAATGCGCTTTCTCGTGACTACTTTTGTGAAAATTGTTTCCACGCTGTATTTAAGGATTTTCTTCAAACGAAGCGTGTTGAAATTAGAAAAACTTCGTTTTTTTCCAGACAATTCAGATTTGACATTTGAATTAGAAAATTAGACAGTTGATACCAATCTTTAATTTCTAGTGATCTTAAGATTGCAACTTAACCACAGAAAAATTTCTGTCAGCTACTTCTACCGAACGTGAATGCTTATTAAATATGATTCATTTTAGTAAAATTACTTGTAAAGAAGCAATTTCAAATTGATTACCGAAAATGTGTGGACAATTTTTCACTTGAATGAAGGAATTCAAGGAGAAGGTTCAAATAAAAGTCAATTGTATTTTATAAACATTGGAATTATTATTAACATGCTAATATATAAATACATGTACAAGTAAGAATATGGCAAAAATTGGCTACAATTTGTATATTATCATAGAAACAATGAGCACAACATTGTATGGTACCACACTCATACACATAATGTTGAATACTTTGGAATCAATTAGAAAAAAATGTTCTGTGCTCCCATATGACGAAGCGATTAAAAAAAAAAGAATAATTACAATTAGATCTATCGAAAAATTGAGATAACAATATCAACACATCGATTATGAAAATATTTCTATGTACACTTCAATATTTGCTTCGTTTATGAATTCCCTTAATCATCCACACATTACATTTGGCTACTCCATTCGCTAATTTGATTACTATCACATACATCGCACCACTCACACGTGTTGAGCTTCACACACATGAAAACAGGGACTCAAACAAAACTTGAGCAAACAATTGTGCTAACAATAAAACACAACTTCGATCGCATCGTCCTTCGAATCAGATTTGAACGAAAAAATTGAATACAACCTGCGGAAATTCGAAGAATAATGCAACAACAAGAAAATTTTACCTTTATGATTGTACCCACAAACCGCAACTCTAGGTTTCGTACTCTGGCAGTCACAAATATCACAATAATCAGTAATTAATTTAAAATAAAATGATGACGCTCGTTGCTCCCTGCATTTACAATCACAAAGTCGATTTGATCGTCACGTTTCTTCAGAGGAATGAGAAATCAATGAAGATGGGATAAAATGCTAAATCAGTCTGTGCGGTTTCTCCAATCTCTTGTCAGTCTGTCTACTGAGTATTTTCTCTAAATAAACCAGAAATTAGTTCTCGTATAATAACACATTTTTTTTTGATTTGACAATCCAAACAAAAATTTGTTGTGTTAGTTATATTTGAAGACAAATTTTTGTCCAGATCGTCGCTTAAAAATCCTCTTACCCAGCTCCAGGGTAGTAGTAAGGCGGCGGTCTCTCGTACTCTGTAGGCGCCCTCTGGTACTGCGGCGGCCCCCCAGCCGGGAAGTCCTCCCACTGCCTAAAAGCAAAAACACGCACATAAGGCAGACGCGGACACACAAATGACAACACAAAATGAAACCGAGGCTACTCAAAAAACCTATATTTTCGAAAACAACAATAAATAGAGAATCTAGGAAGATATAACAAAAAAAAAGATGGAAAATTAGAATGTCGTTGACGTCATGTAAGGGTCTGGAATATTCCTACAAAAGACAAACGGAAATCGGCAGTGAAAAACGGTGGCGTGTGGTGATATGTAAGGGACTTACTTTGGGGCCATGTCGGCGTATCTTGCGTCTTGATGGTTTGATCCTGCTGCGTATTCTCTAGCCACCATGTCGCCGCCTGCTGACACCACGGGTCTGTCTTCGTAGCGTTTGTGTTTTTTGTTCTTTTTCTTGGACTTGCCGCCTCTGCTGCGGAGAAATGAAGGTTAGTGATTGGTTGGGAGCAGGTTGTGGTAAGGCATGCGGTTAGTAAAAGAAAACAAAAGATGTTGAGAAATGTGCTAGTTTTGTAGATTTTACCAGCGGTCAAAAATTGTAGTTATTTTGGATTTTGACCTGTATTTAATTTATTTAAGCATAAATATTAAATGAAACAACGGCAACTTAAATATGTAAAGACACAGTTACACAGTTAAAGTTTAGTAAATCGAGCTTATCATGCAATTAATCAAAATTAGCGTTGTAACAATTCTCTTGTCAAAATCAATTCATTGATTGCTCAGGAAATAACAAAATATTGTACCAACCGTGCTCGACAAACCTATAGCTGTATAAAGGTCACTTAATGGAAAACAGATATAAAATTAAAAATTGTATTGCCTTGTTCAATTGTTTTTCCATATGCTCAAGTTGTTATTAAAAGTATTATTTGACGATGTTGAAATAGTTTTATATTCGTAATGTATAGAAAATTGTCTATGAGACAGCTCTTTTTTAATTTCGAATAGAGCCGTTTTAAAACATTTTTGGAAATTGTGCTCGTTTTTGCGAGTCATATTTGAATAGATTTTTTTTTGAAAAATTTTGCAAAATATTTTTGTTTTCCAGGTTATTTGAAAATTATTATAAAACTTGGCTTCATATGCTTAATGAGATGTAAATAGAATTTTCTTTCAACAACAGGAAAGTTAAACATGTTTTCAGTTTCTTGTTGGGAAAGGAAGACTTCGTATATTAAGACAAAAATGGAGAAAATATATGCCCCGCCCACCCACCCCTTCTCAGTTGTGATGAATGTTTTATTCATCGTGAGCTGAAGGGCGGAGTTTAGTTGCAAAATTCTCATTTTTTACTAGAAATTATCATATGAAACTCATCACAATTGAGATTGGGGTGGGTGGGTGTTAGATAATCTTTGTTTTTTTTTCTTCATATATGTAGTTTTCTTTCAACAATTTTTTGGTGGAAAGAACAAGAGATATTATAATAAAAGACATAAAGTCAAACTATTATTCAATAATTTTGGACTGTACTCCTAATGTAAGTCACCTAGAATAACTTGTACTTTCTCGTTTTTCTCGAAAAACTGATGAAATGAAAAATCTAAAAATTGAAAATTAAAAATTGAAAACTCGTGAAATTTCAAATCGAAAAACTGCAAAATCTAAAAATTTAAACGTCCAAAAGTTGGAAAATCGGAAAACTGGAAAATTTTAAAATGAAAACTTTAAGAGATATCGTAAAATTAAAGAAAAAACAAAACGAAAAATTGGAAGATTCCAAATTGAAAAACTGATGAAACGAAAAATTGAAGAAAAGTGAAATTGAAAAAACAATTATAAAATCGGAACATTGAAAAATTGTAATAAAAAAAAAATAAGAAATTGAAACGAAAAATTGCAAAATCTAGAAATTGAATGGAAAAGTTGAAAAATTGAAAAATTGAAGAAAAAAATTCAAGTCAAATAAGCTGCGGGAGCGTTATTGACACCACTGGTTTTTAGTTTATAGAGGTTATCAGAAAACAAAAATCGCAAAAAAATTATAATTTTTCAGAGAAGATTTTTTTTATTTCGAATAGAGTCTGTTTTAAGACATTTTTTTGAAAATTTTTGGAAATTATTCTCGTTTTTGCAAGTCATATTTGAATGGCATTGAGAAAAACTCCTTCAGGATGAAAATGTATGAAGAAACGTCTGTAAAATTACTTCTTTTTTTTTAATCGAATAGTGCCCACTCTACTTTTTTTACCCTTTTTGGAAAATATTTTCCTGTTTTCTGGGTTTTAGGAAAATTATAGTAAAAATTGAATTCATATTCTTTATGTTTGGAAAATTCGTTATTAGTTAGGTTTTCCCATTTTAATATGATCCGTTTTAACTTTTTTTTTTCAAAATTAAAAAAAAATGTTTTCCCGGTTATTTTTTTATTTAAATAGAGCTCGTTTTACACCTTTTTTTTAACTTTTTGTAAACTATTTTCACGTTTTTCCGTTCAAATTCGAAATATACGGACAAGCGTCTATAAAATGGCCTTTTTAAATTCCAAAAAAATTAAAACTCCATTTGATATTTTTTTTGGGATACTTTGGAAATTAGACCTCAGAATTATTTGAAGATGTAAAGCTAAACTGACTTTAGATTCGTAATCTATACAGAATTATTGATGAGAAGCCCTTTTTTTAAATTCGAGTCCGTTTTAACTCAATTTTGGAAAGTTTTTGGAAATTATTTCCGGTTTTTGCAAGTCATATTTAATTTTTTTTTTTGAGATTTTTCGAAAACATTTTCCTGTTTTCTCGGGTTATTTGAAAATTATAGTAAAAACTGGATTCATATTCTTAATGTTCGGAGAATTTGTCAAGTTAGTTTTTCCCACTTTAATAGACTCCGTTTTATTTTTTATTTTTTGGAAATTAAAAAAAGATATTGTTTTCCAGGTTATTTGAATAGCTACAGCAAAAACTACTTAAAATTCGGAATTTAGGGTTGATCTAAGATAAACTGTTTTTTTATTTGAATAGAGCTCGTTTGAAACCTCTTTTTAAACTTTTTGTAAATTATTTTCACGTTTTTCTGAATTGTTTGAAAATCTATAGCAGATTATTATGAAAATAATAATCTGATAAAAATAAGATGGCGCTTCTTAAATCCAAAAAATTAAAACTCCATTTTTTTTTTTTGAGAAATTTTGGAAATTAGACTCCCGTTTTTCAGACTTATTTGAAGATGTAAAGCTAAACTGACTTTAGATTCGTAATTTATACAGAATTGTTCATGAGATGCCCCATTTTTAAATTCGAATAGAGTCCGTTTTAACACAATTTTGAAAAATTTTTGGAAATTATTTCCGGTTTTTTGCAAGTCACATTTGAATAGCTTTAAGAAAAACTACTTCAGAATCTAAGTGTACGAAGAAATTCCTGTAAAATTACTTGTTTCTTTTTTTAATCGAACACTCTAAATTTTTTGAGAATTTTTGGAAAATATTTTCTTGTTTTCTCGGGTTATTTGAAAATTAGAGTCAACTTTGGGTTGATATTCTAAATTCTCGAAGAATCGTTATAAGTTAGGTTTTCCCACTTTAATAGACTCCGTTTTAACTTTTTTGTTTTTTTTTTTTTGAAATTAAAAAAAAATGTTTTCCGGGTTATCTGCATAGCTGCAGCAAAAACTACTAAAGATTCGTAATCTAGGAATAATTCTTGATGAGCTATTTTTATTTGCACAGAACTGGTTTGAAACCTTTTTATAAAATATTTTCAATTTTTTCCGAATTATTTGAAAATTTGTAGTAAACTTGTCTTCAGATTCGTAACATACGAAGAAGCGTCTATAAAAAGGCGCTTTTTAAATTCCAAAAAAATTAAAACTCCATTTTATTTTTTTTGTGAGAAATTTTGAAAAATAGACCCCTGTTTTGAAGAATTATTTGAAGATAATTTTTAAATTCAAATACACTCCGTTTTAACACAATTTTGGGAAGTTTTTGGAAATTAATTCCGGTTTTTGCAAGTCATATTTGAATAGCTTAAAGAAAAAATACTTTTTTTAAATGGAATAGTGTCAACTGTATTTTTTTTTTATTTTTGGAAAATATTTTTTCCTGTTTTCTCGGGTTACTGGAGGAATTATAATAAAAATTGACTCATAAATCATAATGTTCGGAGAATTCTTTAGAAGTTAAGTTTTCCCCATTTAAATAGACCCCGTTTTAACATTCTTCTCTATAATATGACGTTTTCTAATTTGAATATTGTCCGTTTTAACACATTTTTGAAAGTTTTTGGAAATTATTTTTGATTTTTGTGAGTCATACTTGAACAGCTTTAATTGAAACTACTTCAGGATCGAAATGTACGAAGATATGTATACAAAATTATTCTTTTTTATTATCGAATAGAGCCAATTTGAAATTTTTTTGAAAATTTTTGGAAAATACCCGTACTGTCCAAAAGATTCTCTATAAGCTGTTTTTTTTTCTACATGAAAAATACTTATTCTCGAACTTTTCGGTGTTATTTGAAAAATTATAGTAAAAACTGGCTTCATATCCAAAATTATTTATAGGTTACGATTTTTCCATACAAACAGACTTGGTTCTAACTTTTTCTTTTGGAAAATTTTTGAAAAAATATATATTTTTTTAAAATCAAGTAAGATTCGTAGTCTACGGAGAGAGCTTATTTCCACATTTCTGTAGCAAAAAAGGCCGTTTTAACTTTTTTTTTTTAAATTCTGAAATTAATCTCTGATGCTTGAATAACTAATAAAAACTACTTCAATATTGAAATGTATGTTTATTAAAGACTCTTTTAAGAATTACACTTTTTTTTTAATTTTTGAAAAATATTTTCAGGATGAGTTTTTTTTGACATCAAAAATATTCTGATGTTTTTCCGGGTTATTTGAAGAATTATATTAAACATTGGTTTCATATTCATAATATTCGGAGAATTATTTATAAGTAAAGGTTTTCCCACACAAATAGACTTCATTTTATAATTTTTTTTTTGGAAAATGTTTGAAAAAATATTGTTTTCCGGGTCATTTAAATAAATACAGCAAAAATTACGTAAAATTCGTAGTCTATGGAGAGAGCTCGGTTGAAACATTTTTTGAAACTTTTTGCAAATTATTTTCACGTCTCTTCAGGTTATGTAGTAAAAAATACCGTTTTAATTTTTTTTTGAAAAATTTTGGAAATTAACCTCCTATTTCTCAGAATTATTTGAAGATGTACAGCTAAAATGGCTTCAGATTCGTAATCTATACATAATTATCTATAACATGCCTTTTTTTAATTTCGAATACAGCCTGTGTTAACAAATTTTTGAAAATTTCTCGTTCTTACGAATCATATTTGAATAACACTAAGAAAAGCTACTTCAGTATTGTAATGTATGTCTATAAAAGACTCTTTTTTAACAAACGAATCTAGCCCATTTTGATTTTTTTTTAATTTTTGAAAAATATTTTCATAAGCTTATTTTTTTGACATGAAAAATATTCTGGTGTTTTTCCGGGTTATTTGAAGAATTACAGTAAAAATTCATAATGTTCGGAGAATTATTTATAGGTTAGGTTTCTTCCACATAAATAGACTTCAGTTTAACTTTTTTTTTTGATAACTTTTGAAAAAAAAAATTTCCGGGTCATTTAAATAACTACAGAGAGCTCGGTTGAAACATATTTTGAAACTTTGCAAATTGTTTTCACGTTCCTTCCAGTTATGTGAAGATCTGTAGTAAAAAAGACCGTTTCAACTTTTTTTTTTGAAAAATTTTGGAAATTAAATTCCTGTTTTTCCGAATTACTTGAAGATCTACAACTCAAATGGCTCCCGATTCGTAATCTATACAGAATTATCTACCAAATGGATCTTTTTCAATTTCGAACAGTCTGTTTTCAGAAATTTTTGAAATTTTTCTCGTTTTGCGAATCATATTTGAAGAACTTTAATAAAAACTACTTCAACATTGAAATGTATGTTTATAAAAGACTATTTTTTAAGAATGGAATATAGCCCTTTTTTACACTTTTTTTTTAATTTTTGAAAAATATTTTCAGGAGAAGTTTTTTTTGACATCAAAAATATTCTGATGTTTTTCCGGGCCATTTAAATAAATACAGCAAAAATTACGTAAAATTCGTAATCTGTGGAGAGAGCTCGGTTGAAACATTTTTTGAAACTTTTTGCAAATTATTTTCACGTTTCTTCCAATTATGTGAAGATCTGAAGTATAAAATGCCGTTTTAACTTTTTTTTGAAAAAATTTGGAAATTAGCCTCCTGTTTTCCGAATTATTTGAAGATGTACAGCTAAAATGGCTTCAGATTCGTAATCTGTACATAATTATCTATAACATGCCTTTTTTTTAATTTCGAATACAGCCTGTGTTAACAAATTTTTGAAAATTTCTCGTTCTTACGAATCATATTTGAATAACACTAAGAAAAGCTATTTCAGTATTGTAATGTATGTCTATAAAAAACTCTTTTTTAATAAACGAATCTAGCCCATTTTCATTTTTTTTTGAACATTTTTGAAAAATATTTTCATAAGCTTATTTTTTTGACATGAAAAATATTCTAATGTTTTTCCGGGTTATTTGAAGAATTATAGTAAAAATTCATAATGTTCGGAGAATTATTTATAGGTTAGGTTTCTTCCACATAAATAGACTTCATTTTAACTTTTTTTTTGACAACTTTCGAAAAAAAATATTTTCCGGGTCATTTAAATAACTACAGAGAGCTCGGTTGAAACATATTTTGAAACTTTTGCAAATTATTTTCACGTTCCTTTCATTTATGTGAAGATCTGTAGTAAAAAAGACCGTTTCAACTTTTTTTTTTTGAAAAATTTTGGAAATTCAATTCCTGTTTTTCCGAATTACTTGAAGATCTACAACTCAAATGGCTTCCGATTCGTACTCTATACAGAATTATCTACCAGATGGATCTTTTTCAATTTCGAATAGTCTGTTTTCAGAAATTTTTGAAATTTTTCTCGTCCTTACGAATCATATTTGAAATATGATACATACTCTAAAAAAACCTTCTTCAGGATTGAAATGTATGTCTATGGAAGATTCTTTTTTTACAATTTTTTTTTTGAAAATTTTTGGAAAATATTTTCATGGAAAATTTTTGAAAAAATATTTTGTTTTCCGGGTTGCTTAAATAGCGACAGCAAAATTACTTCCGATTCATAATGTAAAACATTCTCTGTAAGCTATTTCTTTGTATTTCAAAAGCTCATTCGAAACATTTCAAAAACAGAAAGGATATTTTAAATTTTTCTGAAAATTTTTGAAAAATATTTTCCTGTTTTTCCAGGAATGAAGTTATAGCAAAGATGCTTTTACATTCATACTCTCCAAAAAATTTCTCTATATGTATTCTGATTTTTTTTCCAATTAAATAGAGTCCACTCTGACATTTTTTTTGGAAAATTTTTGAAAAAATATTGCGCTTTATTTAAATAGCTACAGCAAAAATTACTTTGGATTACTTACCTCAGAACAATTCTCGATAGGCAATTTTTTTTATTTGAACAAAATTGGTCTGAAAACATTTTTTTTTTTAACTATTTGCGAATTATTTTCCCATTTTTCCCAGTTATTTGAAGATCCATAGCAAATTTTAAAAAATTTGGGAATTATTCTCTCATTTCTCAGAGTTATTTAAACAGTTTCAAATAAAAATTGCTTCATATTTACAATTTAGATTCTTTTATTAAAAAATTAAGCCTCTTTTTTTTGAAAAATCAAAGAATTGTTTTTATGCATACTTTTTTCGCCAAAAATTTAAAATTTCTCCTAAAAACAGGCACCCCCCCCCCTAGCACATTTCCGTCCCAATGAAAAACCAAACACGATGCAATGACTTATCTGTTAGTATGATGATAGCGATGTATGACTGTTAGATGAGCTTAAAGCATGCAAACGACTTAAGTAACCAAAAAAGCACCTTCCCCCACCGCGTCGCACTTACCTATTCAACGGTATGTTATCCCGATCGACATACGCATCATACAAATACTCGCTGCAAAGACAACAAAAAAGCTAAAATTACCAACAACACAAAGGCGCTCATCGTGCGTTACCAAAATTCTAAACCTAAATCAACTCACGTTTCCACTAAGTCTCTCGCGTAGGCGCTGTGCTTCTGATACAGAGTGGCCAACTTGACGGAAATAATAATGGTGGGGATGAAGAGCAGGACGGACCAGAAAAGACCGAACCAGTAGCCGTTCTGTCAAATAACGAAAAAAAAAAAAAAGATAGTCGAACTTGTTTTAGTATTAACGTGTTTAATACCCAAGGTAGCAGGATTTTGTCGCAAGTGGAAGTCAGGGTGGCGTTTATGACCAGACTCAGAGGTCCGCACTGACCCACTTCGTACTCCGTTGTGTCCACCACGCGGTCGATGTAAGTCTGGACTTGATTGACGATGCCTTGAGTGAAGCGAATGATGGTCTAAAATATTGTAACAACGTCATGTAAAAGGCCACTTTTAACACTTACGGCGTTGAGGAATTTGTAGCCGTCGTTTTGGATTTTTTCCTCAGCTTGTTTTAACTCTTTCACTAGGGAGTCCATGGCAACTTCGAAAGAGCTGTGGCCAAACTTGAGTTGATCGTCCAGTTTTTCGGCGAGATGCTAAAATAAGTTACTTAAGAAACGTCGGTTAGGGGTACTTAAGTCTTACTATGACTTTAGTGGCGTTTAATATCATGGGCTCTACGATCTTTTCCTGGTACATGTCGATGTTCAATTTGTTCACTTGAAGACCATCTATTAGTTCCTGGCTATCGGGATTATTGACTTTTTCGATTTCGTTTATTAGCGTTCCCAATTCGTTTGATAGATCGGTTAAGTTGACTGTTGTGAAATTTGTACTCAACTAAAGTAATAATAATAATATTGTATGTTACAAGGAGCGTCTAAACCGACTTACCAGATCCTTAAACTCATCGAAATTAATGTCTCCCAACCCAGAATTGGCGAAACTCTCAAGCAGCTGCATATCATTCTCCCCCAGGATCGTGAAATTCCCCAAACTTTCAAGCGACGTTAAATTCAAGTTCACCAAAGTCTGATTAATATTAAACTTGTTCAAGTAATTTTTGATTTCGTCGAGATCAAACTTGCTCTTTAGGTTAAAAACAACGTAAATACTCTTGTTCTGATAGCAGTTCTCCAGCGCTTTACTTATCGGAAAATCGATGTGAAACTGCGACAAATCGACCTGATCGATCAGCTTGAACAACTGCGAATTGGTGGGGTCGCGGAGCGGGTCGCACACCCCCCTCTGCGCCACCACCCCCAGCAAGAAGCAAACCGCCACCACAACGGCCACGATGAACCCGGTCAAGAACATAAAATACACCCCGCTGAAACGCAAAATTATCACGTCGAATATCGCTCGAGTTTGCTCACTCACCAAATCAAAAACGAGCTACCGGCGCCCTTGTTGCAGCAGTCGTCGCCGTAGCCCTCTGGACGCTTCCCACAGATGCCGCATATCAGACCTAGGGCTATGCACACGGTGATCAGCAGCAGGAGGCAGCTTATGGCCAGCGCTACGTAGTATCTGTAGGGGCTGTACTGGACTATGTACTTCTCGGCTGTGTTCAGGTTGGGTCTGGTGTTGACGTCGATTTGGTTTTTCAGATCGACGACGACGTTCGTGATGTTGCTCGCTCGCTTCTGGATCTCGGCGCCCGCCTCGTTGATTTTGGTCCTCGCCGTTGCGAGGGTGTCGTTGACGGCTTCGCCGATTTCCAGTCTGATGCTTTCTAGTTTTTCCTTGCCTTTGTTTACGGCGTCGGAGAGGCGGTTGTCGCTGACGAAGTCCTCGACTTTGGCGATTTTGTCTGTGATGTCTGGCAGCTAAACAAAAAGAAGACAAACGTTTTTTTTCTGTTCGGTATTTATAATCGACAAACTTAGTGAAGAAGGAAGCACTTACCTTGGGGAAGTACCTGTCAATGTACTGCATGAAAAAGAATTACTTTATGTAATCCATTAGGAAGAAAGTGAAGTTTACATATACGTAATCGGTAGGTGCAGTAGTTGTTGCTTTAAAGAAAACGTATAAAAACTCAACCAAACCAATATCGTTACGTAATTGTATTTTTATTTTTTAAATTATTATTCAAAGCATTGTTTACGAATTTTGTTAATTAAAACATGAGGTGATTTACTCATTCTGCCCGTAAGCCAGATATTGGCTACGTGAAACACATGGCAAATATTGCACACGCATTTTTGTAAAGCAATTGTGATAAAAAATCGAGGCGAACTCATAAACCACAAAAGTATTTACTACGCAATGTTGAGGTGACGTCATCATATTGGTGGTGGGGATGATTCGACAAATTTTGGTGCTTTTGCAAACCAGGTTTCATCAATACTTTTTACTGCCCGAGCGTAGGCTGAGAAAGAATTTCGTGCAACCATTTTACTTTTTCGGTAAAAACATCTCTTTCTGATATTTTTCATTGTTTACATTTATATCTTTCCCATGTTGTTTCTTTTAAATGAAGTTAGAGTGGAAATACTGGGGGTCCATCAGGTGAAGGGCTAATTTTATGTTTTCTCGATGTTTCATGACCCCTAGAGTATGAAAAAATAGGTATCCCCTTTGCGTCTGTCTATCTGGTATTTGAGTCGACTTTTATTAAACAGATCTTCGAAACTACCGGGCCGATTGTTGCCAGGTTTTATATGTATGTTTTCAGAAATATCGTGTAGATGGTAAAACGCTAACTAAACTTTGTCTAGTCTAGTATTTGATTTTTTAACTTTCTTTTGTTTTTTTAATCGGCATTTTTTAATTTTTACCACCTTTTTATTTACCCTTTTTTCGTTTTTCTTTGCCCCCATTTTGTCATTTTGTCTACATTTGTGCCTCATTGGAATATCCACATTTTTCGTTGCCCCTTTTCACCTTTCAAGTTTTTTTTGCGCATTTTTTGTTAAATTCCTTTTTGATTACGTTTTTTTTTTGGTCACTTCCGAATTCCTTTTTTATCCACATTTTTATCACCTTGTTTATCGCCTTTTTTTGTTGTGCTTTTGATCTCTTTTTATTTTTCTTCATCTTATTGGTTTTTAAATCGCTTCTTTGCTGTTTTTGACCTTTTTTTTTTATTTTTACTTTTTAATTTTGTCGCCTTTCTTTTGTTTTTCTATATCCCTTCCTTTTTTGTTTTTTTTTTCGTCTTACTTTTATATTGTTACCTCCCGGGTGTACGTGAGCTAGGGAAGTATTGTAATAAGGTCCATCCGACGGATGGCTACTTTCCTGATTTCCCAACATTTCATGACCTCCGTGAAAAAATATGTCTCCCGTTTCCGTCTGTCTGCCGTCTCTTTGTCGATTTTTATTAGACAGATCTCCGATTCTAACGGGTTTGCTTTTTCAACTTTAGAATTCTCAATTTTTATAAATTTTATTGTTTTGGAATTTTTCAGTTTATTTATTATTCAGTTTTTGGATTTTATAATTTCTCAATTTTTCTCCTCTTCAATTTTAGGATTTTTATAAACTCAATTTTTCGATTTGACTTTCGACTGTTTCGATTTTTCAATTTTTTAATTTGTCAGTTTTTGGGTATTTCAGTTTTGGGATTTTTCAGTTTTTCTTTCATTTTTCAATTTTACGAAATTTCAGTTTTGGGATTTTTCAGTTTATTTATTATTCAGTTTTCGGATGTTTCAATTTTACGTTTTTCCAATTTTTCAAATTTGACTTTTATAAACTCTTAGTTTATCGATTTTTCATTTCTTCAATTCTTCAATTTTTTAGGATTTTGATTTTTCAATTTTATAAGGTTTCGATTTTTCGATTTCACTTTTTTGACTTCTTGATTTATCAGTTTTTCAATTTTTCCATTCTTCAGTTTTTTTCATTTTTCAATTTTTCGAAATTTTAGTTTTGGGATTTTTCGGATTTATTATTCAATTTTTCAATTTTACAATTTTTTAATTTCTCAATTTTCAATTTTCCAATGTTTCAGTTTTACGTTTTTTCAATTTTTCTCCTCTTCAATTTTACGATTTTTAAATATTTCGATTTATCTATTTTTCAATTTTTGACTTTTCTAAATTCTCAATTTTTCGATTTTTCAATTAATCGATGTTTTGATTTTCCCATTTCTTAACTTTCAACAGTTTCGATTTTCCAGTTCTTCAATTCTTCAATTTTTCGATTTTTTAGGTTTTTGATTTTTCAATTTTTCGATTTGACTTCTGGAATTTTCGATGTGTCGATTTTTTTGACTTTTTAGATTTTTAGATGTCTCAATTTTTCAAATTTTTCAAATGTTTCGATTTCTTAATCTTTTGATTTTTTGACTTCCCAGTTTTAGATTTTTTAATTTTTCATTTTTAAAATTTTTCGAGTTGTCAATGTTGTGATTTCCCGATTTATCGAGATTTGGATTTTGATTGTTCAGTTTCTCGATTTTTCAATTCTTAAATTTATAACTTTTGAATTTTTTATTTTGTCCTATTCCGGTTTCTGAGTTTTTACGCTTTTAGATTTTTCGATTTTCCAATTTTTTAACTCTTAAGTTTTCGTTTTTTCGATTTTGGCCTATTTTGGTTTCTCAATATTTCAATTTTTCGAATTTTTCAATTTTTTTGATTTCTGGATTTATCGAGATTTGGATGGTTCGATGTTTTGATTGTTCAATTTCTCGATTTATCAATTTTTCAATTTTTAACTTTTCGATTTTGGCCTACTTCGGTTTTTCAATTTTTCGACTTGACTTTTCGACTACTCAATTTTTCGACTTTTTACTTTTCGATTTTCCAGTTTTTCGATGTTGCGATTTTTCAATTTTTCGATTTTTCATTTTTCGGTTTTTAAATTTTAGATTTTCAAATTTTTTTAAGCCAAAAATCGAAAAATCGAAAAAAGCGAGTAATCAAAAAATCGAAACACGCAAAAATTGTAAAACTGAAACGTCGAGAAATCGAGAAACTGAAAAGTCGAAATGTCGAAAAATATCGAAAAACAGAAATAGCCTAAAATCGAAAAATCCAAAAGTTAAAGATTGAATTATTTAAAACTAAAGAAAAAATAAAAAAATTAAAATTTCAAAAATATCCATAAATACAGAAAGCGAAAAAACTGAAAAATCGAAAAACTGAAAAATCGAAAAATAGAAAAACCGAAAAATCAAAAACTGAGAAGTCGAAAAATCGAACTCGAAACATCAAAAAACTGAAAAATCTAACATTTAAAAAAAATTGAAGAACTGAAAAATCGAAAAATCTAAAAATCTAAAATTTAAAAATGTGAAAAATTAAAGCTTTGAAAATTGAAAAATCGAAAAAGCAGAAAACCCAGAAATCGAAAAGCCGAACTATCGATACATTGGAAAATCGAGAAACTGAAGAACCGAGAAACTGAAGAACCTAAAAACTGGAAAAGCCCAAAACTAAAACATCAAACAATTGGAAAATCAAAAAACTCAAAATTTAAAAAATTGAAAATTTGAAAACTTTTAAAATTGAGGAGTCAATAAACTAAAAAATGGTTAAAGTGAAAAATGCCGCAACCGAAACGATGAAAAACTGAAAAATGAAAAAGCGGGAAATCAAAAAATCGAAACATCCAAAAATAGAAAAACTGGAACATCGAGTAATACATAAATTGAAAAGTCGATTTTTCGTTTTTCGGTTTTTAAATTTTAGATTAGAAACACGCAAAAATTGAAAAACTGAAAAACTGAAAAATCAAAAACTCAGAAGTCGAAAAATCGAAATCGAAACATCAACAAATCTAACTTTTAAAAACTAGAAAAATTAGCTAGAAATATTGAAGAACTGAAAAATCGAAAAATCTAAAATTTAAAAATGTGAAAAATTAAAGTATAGAAAAATTAAAGCTTTGAAAATTGAAAAATCGAGAAATTGAAATATTACAAAAATCTAAAAAGCTGAAAATCCAGAAATCGAAAAAGTGAAAAATTGAGAAATCGAAAAATCGAAAAGTCCAACTATCGAAAAATTGGAAAATCGAAAAACTGAAGAACCTAAAAACTGAAAAATCCCAAAACTAAAACATCAAAAACCCGAAAAATTCAAAATTTAAAAAGTCGAAAATTTGAAAAATTGGAAAATTGAGGAGTCAAAAAACTAAAAAAATCGATAAAGTGAAAATTCCAAAACTGTAATGATGAAAAATTGAAAAGTGAAAAAGCGAGAAATCAAAACATCGAAACATCCAAAAATTGAAAAACATCGAGTAATAGAGAAATTGAAAAGTCAATTTTTCGTTTTTCGGTTTTTAAATTTTAGATTTTCAAATTTTTCATTTTTTCGATTTTTTGATGTTTCGATTTTTCGCTTTTCAGTTCTTCGATATTTCTATTTTTCAATTTTTCGATTTAGATTTCTCGATTTTTCAGGTTTGGGATTTTTCAAATTTTCGATTATTTTAATTTTTCATTTTTTTCTCAGTGTTAGTATCATACAATGTATTGAAAATAAACACAAAAATTGATCGCTAAAACATTTGAAAATCTATCCAAAGTAGAAGACAATGATCCCAAAACATAAAAATAACTACATTTTCCCGGAAAAATCCATGCATTATTACGATTTCAACAATATTGCTAATTTAAGGCGTTTTGCTAGTATAAAACACAATTAAAGAATCAATTCTTAGTTAAAGAAAAAAATTGTATGTCAAAATCGAGTGAAATATGTGACATGAGATATATTTACACTTCTTTTTTTTTTCGTCTTGCTTTCACTTTTTTAATCCCTCATAACTCAATAATTTTGCATGGTAAACGTTATTAAAATTTTATAAAATAACATACTCATATACTTGTGGTTTACGAATCCGCTTTGACTTTTTATCTTATGCACCCAGATTTTCGTAAAAAAAATTTTATAATAATCGTTTACACTTATATTGATACGCTGTATAGCTCAGTTTGTTAGAACTATATACTGATATCCCGAAGGTGACGACTTCGATCCCTCTTGGGCCACTTAATTTTTTCTTACATTGTGACTGGTATTATCTATATTTTTTCTAATGGATTTGTTTTCTTTTTTTATGTTTTCGCTCTTACATTATTTAAATTCCTGAGTACAATTTTTCTCATTCTTCCACAACATTATTCCCTTTCTTAATATAAAAGCAATGACTTTGAAAATGTTTTCGTTAAAATATGAATGTTCGAAGCGTTGAAAGCGGTGTTATCAACACGATAAGCGAAAATCGACTTGACACTCTTGTCATTGTCATTTTAGCGCCATATTGTTTTCAGCGGAGATAATAAGCCGAAAGCGTCGCATTTAGCAGTCGTTACCTCAAAAGACTTTTCTCCCATTAAAAAAGAAGCCGCCGCCCCCAAAAAATTGCCACTGCGGGCCGCAGCCCACTTGCCCCATCGGTAAATCTGATGAGAAAAAGACGTCAGCAATGACTTAAGTATGAATTGACGAAAAGTAAGAACAGCGAAATTGTTTTCGATAAATAAAAATCCAACCGATTCGATCTGCTTTGATGCTGTACTAGTTTAAACTGGTTCTTTTAATTTAACGAATACTTTAATACAAGTAAATGGGGAAAAAGCAAAAACTTGGATGACATTATTCAGACATCAACGTCCTTAGATCGTTAGCCAATGCTCTGTTGCAACACGCTGCAAAAACACTTTACAAAAACCTCAGTCCATCAATATCGATTTTATTTTCCCCATTGTGTGCTTAATGTTGCAATTACTGCTTCTGAATCATATCAACTACAATTTTTATTCTTTGTTATAAAAACTTAACTATGTGGCAACACCGCACCGAGCGGACGCTACTGCAAATACCGATCCACATCCACCACAACATAATCCAACACGATTCCCTGCATCCCTACTTACATTATTAAAATGGATGTTGGTCTGCAGCAAACTGACATTCCCGCTGATTTCCTGACACTTGGGAACATTCTCGCAGGCGCGTCCTTTCAGCAACTCCAGCATGTCCTTCTTCACTTTCCTGACGGCTAAAACAACACAATTTTTTCCTTCGACTAGCACAACAAATAAAACCTACCGTCGTTCAGCTGGGAGGCGTAAACCCGTAACGAGTTCGTTGAATATTTCAAAGTAACGAACCCTATGCTGATATCGGGGAGAGCCTCCACGATATTGGCAACTTCTGTCATTGAGATAGCGTTGGCGTAGTCGGCGAGCTCTCCGTAAACTATATTACTGCTGTCTGCAATGTTGGTGGTGAGAAATTGAACAATGTAGGGGTGAATTGGCGTTCCGCAGGGTTGGGCTAGGTGTCGTTTATATATTTAGAGTTGTGTGAAGTGTTCGCAATATTGATTTTATTTATTGTTTGTGTTTAAACCTTCAAGGATTTTTAGAGACGCTACTTGCATTATTAAGTGTTTAAAAAAATCGGGTGTGCGGCAAGGATTGGGTTCCCTTTTATTTCACATTTTCGTGAGTGATTTCACTGGAATTTCGTAAAACAAGGCATTACGAGAAAATTATGTTTAACGGATACACTCATTAATGATTTAGTTGGCACGTGTCACTTCTATTAGACGTCAAGTTCCACTCCAACGAGAACATGATAAACGTCACAGCAATAGTTTATCTGTCAATTAGCTGTGTATTGTGTATATCAGATACGTAGATTAGTATATGTACTATGATAATACGTTCTTAAACAGTTGCTTTTTCGAGTTATTGAGAACCACATTTCCGATTTTGTTGCTAATAAAATCCACTTAATTAATTAAATTAATCTATTTGACTTCACTAAAAAATTCTTCTCTAGATAACTTTAGTCCAATTTTTTTTAAGGAATGTGAAAAAATATTGAAATCCCCTGGTGTTGTATTTTTTAAACAATGTGGAAATTTTGGCGGGAAAATTTATACTCGTGCGCAGACTCGACTTCTGGCTCACTTGACTGCGCTCACGTTGTCCGGAGTGGGCCAAAATTTAAATTTTCCCGCCAAAAATTGAAACAGCCCAAATTCAAATTTTCCTGCCAAAATATGAGTCAGAAGTCACTATGTAACTATTCTCTAAACACCTAGTATTGTATTTTTAAAAAAATTTGAAAAAATTATCGAAATTCTGTTTTATTCTTGAAAGAGGTTGAAAAAATTTCAAAAGTCCTTGTTTTGTATTTGTAAGAATTTAAGAATATGAAAAAATCTTGGGGGCCCGTGGTGTTTTTTTTAATGTAGTGTTCTACTTTTGAAAAATCTGGAAGATCCCTGGTTTTTCATTGATTGGAAACATTTAAACGGGTCTTTGGGATTGATTTTGGGAAATGAGATACCCTCTAAGAAAAGAGAGGGTGGGTGGGCGGGTAGTTGTTAAAATAAGACCGATTTTGACAGATGACATACCCTCTAAGAAAAGAGAGGATGGGTGGGCGGGGTTAGGACCTTGTAAGATAGAACTGATTTTGGCAAATGAGATACCCTTTAAAAAAGTGAGGGCGGGTGGGCGGGGCTAGTGCCTGCTACGATAAACCTGATTTTGGTATAGTAGGCATTCTACATCACATTTTGTCGGGAAAGTCCAAGTTAGCCGACCTTAGCCGACGAGAGAAATTCAAACGTGAGCCAGAACTCCCATTATAGGTGTAACTATTATCCAGGCTCCTGTACTTTATAAAAAAAAAAAATTAAAAATCCTCGAGGTCGTTATTTATGTTTAAAACTAGAGGCCGCTTGTGGTCTTTGGTTAAAAAAAAAGCGAAAAAATTGTCAAGGAACTTGGTGTTCTACTTTTGAAAAAAAATTGAAAAAATCGGGAAGATCCCTGGTGTATCATTTTTGGAATCATCAAAAAAGACATTTGGGGCGTCTTTTTTAAGAATTTAAAAATTCTCAAGGTACCTCGTGTTCTGCTTTGGCAAAAAAATTTAAAAAATCGGGAGGATCCCTGGTGTGTCATTTTTGGAAACATAGAAAGCCTTCGGGGCGTCTTTTTTTAAGAATTTAAAAGTATCGTGGGGTCCTCGGTGTTTCGTTTCTGCAAAAAATTGAAATAATCTTAGGGGCACATATTTTTTTAAGTGAAAGTATCTAGAAGGCCCTGTATATTTATTTCTGAAATAATTTGGACAAAATCTTCTACAGTAATTAGATGATGGGGGTTCTGCCTCACATTTTGGTGGGAAAAATTTATTTCGAAAAAATCTCGAGGTCCCAAGTGTTCTAATTTTAAAATAATTTGGAAAAAAACTCGAGAATCCCTGACGTATAGTTTTTGGAAGTATTTAAAGTCTTATGGGTCTTTTTAATTTGAAATTTTCAAATTTGAAAATATCGTGGGGCCTCCGATGTTTAATTTTTAAAAAATCGAAAAAATTCTCGAGGTATCTGGAGTTCTACTTTTAAAAGAATTTGAAAAAACTCGAGTATCCCTGGTGTATAACTTTTGGACGCATTTGAAAGTCTTAGGGGCGTTTTTTTTTTGAAAAATTCTAAAGTATCGTTTGAAAAAAAACTCGAGGACCTCAGCTGTAGAGTTTTTGGAAGCATTTGAAAGTCCTAGGTACGTCTTCTTTTTAAGAATTTGAAAGAACCGTGGGGGCCTCTGGTGATTTAATAAAAAAAAAAATCCAAAAAATCCTTAACGTACCTGGTATTTCATTTTTGAATGCAATAAAAAAGTCTTTGGGGCATCTTTTTTTAAGAATTTGGAAGTATTGTGGGGACCTTTGTGTTTTATTTATGCAAAAAACTAAAAGAATTGTAGGGGCCCATATTTTTTTTAGTGAGAGAATTTCGAAGGGCTTGCATGTTTATTTCTATAATAATTTGAAAAAAAAATTCTATGGTGAGGGTTCTACCTCACATTTTGGTGGGGACAATTTATTTCGAAAAAATTCTCGAGGTTCCCAGTGTTCTAACAGAAATTAAAAAAAAAAACTCGAGGATCCCTGGTGTATAGTTTTTGGATGCATTTAAATGCCTTTGGGGAGTTTTTTTTAAGGATTTGAAAGTGTCGTGGGCCTATGGAGTTTTATTAAAAAACAAAGATCCTCGAGGTATCTGGAGATCTATTTTTAAATTTGGAAGCATTAAAAAAAGGATTGGGGGGCCTTTTTTTAAGAATTTAAAAGTACCATGGGGACTCCTGGTGTATTTTTTGTTCTTTTTTGTCATATTTCATTTTGTTTTATATTCCGAATTTAATTTAATTTAACTCTGTAAATGGCTACTGTCGTAAGTAAAGTATTATCATTATTACTTTTGCAAAAAATTGAAAAAAACTTAGGGGCCCATTTTTTTTGTAAAAGAATCTAGAAGGCCCTACATGTTTATTTCTAAAATAATTTGGAAAAAATCTTCCAGAATAATTATATCATGGGGGTTTTGCCTCACATTTTTGGAAAAAATTTATTTCGAAAAAATTCTCGAGGTCCCTAGTGTTCTAATTTAAAATTTAAAAGTCATAGGGGCCTTTTTTAGTTAAGAATTTGAAAATATCGTAGGGGCCTCTGTTGTTTTATTTTTAAAAAATTTAAAAAATCCTCGAGGTATTTGGCGTTCTATTTTTTTAAATAATTTGAAAAAAACTCGAGTATCACTGGTGCATAATTTTTGGACGCATTTAAAAGTCTTAGGGGCTTTTTTTAAGAATTTGAAAGTATCGTGACGGCCTCTGGTGTTTAATTAAAAAAAATCAAAGACATCTCCAAGGTATCTGGAAATCTATTTTTAAATTTGGAAACTTTAAAAAAATTCCTTGGGTTTTTTTTTACGAATTTAAAAGTACCATGGGAAACCCTGGTGTATTTTTGCAAAAAAAGTGAAAGAAACTTAGGGGACCATATTTTTTTTGCAAAAGAATCTAGAAGGCCCTACATTTTTATTTCTAAAATAATTTGGAAAAAATCTTCTAGAGTAATTATATCATGTGGATTCTGCCTCACATACTAAGGATCTAATTTCATATCAATTATTATCTCCCCCCGTGGAATTCCACATTTTGGTGGGAAAAATTTATTTCGAAAAAATTCTCAAGGCCCATAGTGTTCAATTTTAAAAGAATTGTAGTTTTTGGAAGCATTTAAAAGTGTTAGGGGACTATTTTTTATTAAGAATTTGAAAATATCGTGGGGGCCTCTGGTGTTTAATTTTTAAAAAATCGAAAAAATCCTCGAGGTATTTGGGGTTCTATTTTTAAAATAATTTGAAAAAAAAATCAAAGATATCCCCATGGCATCTGGAGATCTATTTTTAAATTTGGAAGCTTTAAAAAAAATCCTTGGGGAGTCTTTTTTTTACGAATTTAAAAGTACTATGGGGAACCCTGGTGTATTTTTGCAAAAAAAAGTGAAAGAAACTTAGGGGACCTTATTTTTTTTGCAAAAGAATCTAGAAAGGCCTATATTTTATTTCTAAAATAATTTGGAAAAAATCTTCTAGAGTAATTATATCATGACGGTTCTGCCTCACATACTAAGGATCTAATTTCATATCAATTATTATCACCCTCCGTGGAATTCCACATTTTGGTGGGACAAATTTATTTCGAAAAAATTCTCAAGGTCCCTAGTGTTCAATTTTAAAAGAACTGTAGTTTTTGGAAGCATTTAAAAGTGTTAGGGGACTATTTTTTCATTAAGAATTTGAAAATATCGTGGGGCCTCTGGTGTTTAATTTTTAAAAAATCGAAAAAATCCTCGAGGTATTTGGGGTTCTATTTTTAAAATTATTTGAAAAAAACTCGAGGATCCCTGCTACATAGTTTTTGGAAACATTTGAAAGCCCTAGGTACGTCTTTTTTTAAGAATTTGAAAGCTGTGGCGCCTCTGATAATTTATTAAAAAAAAAAATCGAAAAAATCCTTGAGGTACCTACTATTTTTGGCAGAAATTAAAAAAGTCTTCGGGACGTATTTTTTAAGAATTTGGAAGTGTTGTTTATTAAAAAAAAAAACTTTAAAAAATCGTCGAGGCCCTAGAAGAGTTTATTTCTGAAATAATTGGGAAAAATCTCCTAGAATAGTTACATACTGGGGGTTTTGCCTCACTTTTTGGCGGGAAGAATTTATTTCGAAAATATCCTGGGTGTTCCATTTTTAAATGACTTTGAAAAGAAGAATTCTTGGTGTATAGTTTTTGGAAGCATTTAAAAGTCTTAGGGGCGTCTTTTTTTAAAGAAATCGAAAAAATCCTCGAGCTACATGTAGTTCTCCTTGTGAAAAAATTTGAAAAAACCCAAGAGGACCCCTGGTGTTTCATTTCTAGAAGAATTAAAAAAGTCTTTGTGATGTCGTCCTTTTTTTTTAAGTATCGTGGGGTCCCTGGTGTTTTAATTTTGAAAAAACTTTAAACAATTTTAGGCCCATATTTTTTGAAGTGAAAGTATCTAGAAGGCTCTATGTGTCTATTTCTAAAATAATTGGAAAAATCTTCTAGAATTTCTGGTGTTATTTTTTAAAAACAATTTGAAAAAAAAAATCGAGGATCCCTAGTGTAGTTTTGGAAGTGTTTAAAAGTCTCAAGGGGCGTCTTTTTTAAGAATTTGAAAATATCGTGGTGGCCTCTGGTGTTTTATTTTTTAAAGAAATCGAAAAAATTCTCGAGCTACATGATGTTCTACTTTTGCAAAAAAATGAAAAAACCTGGAGGATTCCTAGTGTTTCATTTTTTGGAAGCATTTAAAGAACCTTTTGTGACGTCGTTTTTTTTTTATTTTGAAAATACCGTGGGGTCCCTGGTGTTTTATTTTTTTGAAATATAGTCATGTAGTGGGGGTTCTGCCGCACATTTTGGCGGGAGGAATTTATTTCGAAGAAACCCTCGAGGTTCAGATACCGCTCACTTGATTTTGCGCCAAAGTTAGTGGACTTTGACCGAAGTGAGCCAAAATTCCAATTTCCCCGCCAAAATGTGAGCCGGAACTGTCACTATATAATTATTCTCTAGGTCCTTGGTATACTATTTTTAAAAGAACTTGAAAACTCATTGTTTAATTTTTGAACAAAGTTGAAAAAATCTCGGAGGTCCTTGGTGTTTTGTTTTTGGAAGAATTTGAAAGAAGATTTAGTGTTTTTTTAGTGTGAGAAAATAATGGATAAAATAACCTGAAAAAATCTTTGGAGTTCCTACCGACTTTAAAAAAAAAGTGAAAAATTTTTCTAGAATAGTTATATAGCGGGGGTTCTGGCTCATTTGATTTTGCCTTGAAGTTAGCTGACGTAGGCCGACATGAAAAATATGAACATATACTAACTTACAGGAATCTATGTTATTTATTGTAATTTTTGTTTATTTATTAAATAACAATGGTTGGTCGTATCGTTATTGGTTGAAAAAAATGTATTTTTATCATTTTTTCATAATATCTACACTTGACGAAGAAAAATAAGTCACTCTTTATTACCATTTTGACAATACTTTTTTGTTATAAAGCAAACAAATGCTTTAAATCGAACCTGTTTTATGTGGTGTCCCACATTACAACCATGATAAGTGTTTGTCCCAGACCATAACCAACTTCATCTATATACGCGCCATGGTCTTGCACAGATTAAAATCGTCAAACCACTGCACCACTCCCACGTTCCGCCTGATTCAACAATCTAATTTGATTTATTTTTATTATTTTCGACAGACACCTATACTTTCTGCTTGAATTTATTCAAACCCATTGCTTTAAAACCAATTTTACACATTAATCAGTGATTTATTTTGCAATGCACAAATTTCCAAAAATTTTCTTCGTTAGCCCAACACTGCGAAACAAAAAATCCCCAAAACTACTAACCGTTTATCGTCTCCAGTAGAACTTTCTCGAATTCCCCGTAATTCACATTAAGTAGTGTATCAATCTGTCCCTTGGTGGTGTCCAGATACGTATTGACATCTTTCACCCCCTTCCTCAAATTGTCCGTCAAATCCCCGACGCCCTCTTCCATCTGTTGATTACTGACGAAAGCGCAAACGACGCCAAACCTGCAAACAAATCAACAGCCCACGATTAATGAGTAGGCATTTATTACTCAAATTTTTGTAAAATACAGTAAGGTAACTGTTACTTTCGCCGAAAATAACCGTAAACAACGAACGGTTTTGGAAAATAGCGCCATGTGGTCATGTTTAACATCGAAGAACAGCGGCCTTAAAAAAATAACCTTCAATTTCTTGCTAGCGCTTTGCTCCAACAATTTATTAATGGAAATTTCAATTTAAGCACCAATTTCACGATCGGTTTGAGTGTCGGATATCCTTTATTAGGCGAAAACGCTCCGAATCGGAGACTATCAAAAAGCATCCACTTTTTTCTGGTTACTCTTATTAAAAACTCGCATTTTAATCAGACTTAAGGCACACTTATTGGTAATGAATTTGGCGGACTTAAGTAAAGTGACGCAAATGTTGTTCGTGGCTTTGGAAAGATTAACCGAAATTTATAGCTCATAATTTTAAAATAATTGTGTCAAATGCGAAAAAATGCACTTAGCTTGAATTCCCTTTTGAGCCGAGTTTGCAGATTTACGACACGTATATATCATGCTTTGACACTATTAATGAATGGAAAAGTGAATGGAAAGCTTTGTCTATACTTAAGCCTTAGCCAATAAATTACACTGTAAATGTTTAGGCAAGATTGTGGAATCGTTAAATATTCCCGCGTTATTTCTCGTTAAAAATATCTTGATTAAACGTGATAGCAATAGCTGGAGGTATTAAAGCGAATTTTTCCCCGTACCGAGTGACAGAGCCTATATTAATAATCCCGCTCTACCTACAAAAAATTGCTGATAAAAATCGATGATGCGTAGGACGGATCCGTACATTAAATCACAAACAGTTGACTCTTTTTTTTTTTAATGAAATTTTAAGCACACTCTTAATTAAATATTCTGGTTTCACGTGAATAATGTTCGTTTGTAAATTTTTTTCGCCAGTATCGATTTTCCTTTCGTTTATAATTTCGTTCGTGTTACTAAATTTCTCATTACTTGAATGTTGTTTTACAAAGCTGCAAAAAGCGGGCGAGTTTTTGTGTTCGAAATGTAACTGACATGTTTTTTTATTACAAAACAAAATTTGGTTGGCGTAAGGGAAATGAACGAGCGGCGAATGGGTGAGGCATGCTATGAAATGTATCAACATTTAACACAAACTTATTTAATTTTAATTATATAACGTTATGTTTAGCAAAGTTTGCGATTTTTTTATTAAAATGTTATTTTGTGACATTCACTAATTGTTCAGAAGTCGGTCAAGCGTGAAAATTATATAGAAAAATTATTTCTTGTACTAACTTCGCTATTTTTAGAAATTAGAGCCAACCAACTTACGGAAGCATAAATTTTGTCGTATTAAATTTAGATTTCACGAGATCAGCAATATTAAGCAAAAACATAGTCAGATAGAAATTTGTTCCTGAAAGTTTGTACGACGCGAATTAAATTATTGGAAGTGAGAATTACTTTTATTCTTCGACAGCCGAAGTTGCTTTATCATGAGGTTTGGGAAAAAGTGTACGGAACTTTTAGATGTAGGAAACGTTGAAAGTCGCAACTTTTAGCGAACACCAATGTTTTTAGCTTCTGGGTTAAAGAAAAATCAATCGGTTGAATGTAATTAATTGTTAATAATTTTTATTTTATATAATTCTAGAAAGCATACAGGATATTTTTTAAGGAAAACTTTGCAAATTTTTATATATTTAGATTCTTTTTATTAAAAAAGAACAAATCAGATATCGTTTTATCACATTATCTCATATTTTTCAAATGGGACACACTGATTAAGCTTTTTGGTGCCAAATTTGTTGGATCTACACCGATATGGTTTATTGAATTACATATTTCATTAAATGTCAACAATTTTTATTTTCTACAATGTTAGAAAAAAACAATACAGGGTGTTCCAACGGTTTGCTAACGCAAAATTATCTTCGAGTTTTCCAATTTTCGATTTTTTTAATTTCTCGATTTTGGTTTTCTGAATTTTCAACTTTTCGTTTCTTCAATTTTTATATTTAATTTTTCGATTTTTCAATTTTGCATTTTGCCGATACGCAATTTTTTGAGTTCTCAATTTTAAAATTTCGAATTTTTCGATTTTTCCACCTTTGAACTTTTCAATTTTTCGATGTTCCAATTCTTTGTTTCATATAATTTTTGGTTTGACAATTATTCCAATTATCAATTTTAATGAAACATTTTTTGTTTAAAAAATTTCAATTTGTCGGTTTTTGGTTTTTCGATGTTCAAGATTTCGTTCTTCAATTTTTCAATTTTTTATTACTCCATATTTAATTTTTCGATTTTTCATTTCAATTTTCGATTTTTTTTAATTTTCAATTTTGAATTTTTTTCAATCTGCAATTCTCTGAGATTCCAATTTTTCTAATTTTCGATTGAAGTTTTTGATTTTCCAATTTCTCAGTTTTTAATTTTTCAATTACTTGATGTTTAATTTTCGAGTTTTCTAATGTTTCAACTAGATTTCATTTTTCTATTTTTATTGTGCGATTTTTCGTTTTTACAACTTTGAAATATTTTAATTTCCGATTTTTATTCTCGGCCATTTTCCGATTAGAAAATTTTCCGGTTCTTCAATTTTTCGATTTTTGTTTCAACTTCTTAATACCATATTTTTTCAATTCGACAATTTTCCAAGTTTTCATCTTCGAATTATCCAGTTTTCGATTTTTTTTAATTTCTCGATTTTTGGTTTTTTGATTTTTCAATATTTCGTTCCTTCGATTTTTCAATTTACAACTTGTCTCATTTTTTTTATTCTCAACTTTTCGATGTGTTAATTATTACAATTCGTAATTTTCCAATTTTTTGATTTTGAATTTTTAGAAGTTTTTAAAGTTTTTATTTTTCGATTTTTTTTTGTCAACATTTAAATTTTCGTGTTTTTAATGTCAATTTTGGTTTTTCCAATTTTTTAACTATGTACTCGATTTTGCATTTTTTTTTTTTCAATTTAAATGTTCAATTTTTCGATCTTCCAGATTTTGTTTGTTTCATCCATTTTTTGGATTGACAATTTTTCCAGTTATCAACTTTAAATGTTTAAAGTTTTAGAATTTTCAATTTGTCGATTTTTGGTCTTTCGATATTCAACATTTCATTTCTTCAATTTTTCTAATTTTCGATTTATCAACCTTCGAATGTTGCGATTTTTAGTTACTGCATATTTAATTTATCGGTTTTTCATTTCTTCAAGTTCTCGATGGTTTTTTTATTTGATCAATTTTGGATTTTTCAATTTGCAAGCTTCCAATTTTTCGATTTTTCAATTTTGCAAATTTTTGAATTTGGAAACTTGGAATTTACCGATCTTAGTTTTGTTTTGAGATTTTTCAGTTCCCCAATTTTTTATTTTTCAATTCTTTTGCAATTTTTCGTTATTTTTTCTTTTTATAAATTCTATTTTAATTTTTAAAAAATCTTTAGTTTTAATGTATGACTTCATTTGTTCTATGCTTAGTTATTTATCAGTCAGTATGCACTGTCTTTTGTAGTGTTGTGAAATAAACTTACATATCTTATGTTATCTTATCTTATCTTAATTACAAATTGTTTCCAATTTTTCTAATTTTTAATTTATCAACTTTTGAATTTTTCGACTCTTTGATACACGATATTTAATTTTTCGACTTTTCATTTCTTCAACTTTTCGATTTTTTTTTTGTTTTTTTCCAATTTTGCATTTTTTTTTTTAACAATTTTTCGATTTTTTATTACGCCATATATAATTTTTCGATTTTTCATTTCAATTTTGGATTTTTTTTATTTTCCAATTTTGCATTTTCTTCAATCTGCAATTCTCTGAGCTTCCAATTTTTCTAATTTTCGAATGAAGTTTAAATTCTTCAATTTTGCTGTTTTTGATTTTCCAATTTCTCAGTTTTTAATTTTTCAATTACTTGATGTTTAATTTTCGAGTTTTCCAATGTTTCAACTAGATTTCATTTTTCTATTTTTATTGTGCGATTTTTCGTTTTTACAACTTTGAAATATTTTAATTTCCGATTTTTATTCTCGGCCATTTTCCGATTAGAAAATTTTCCGGTTCTTCAATTTTTCGATTTTTGTTTCAACTTCTTAATACCATATTTTTTCAATTCGACAATTTTCCAAGTTTTCATCTTCGAATTATCCAGTTTTCGATTTTTTTAATTTCTCGATTTTTGGTTTTTTGATTTTTCAATATTTCGTTCCTTCGATTTTTCAATTTGCAACTTGTCTCATTTTTTTTATTCTCAATTTACCGATCAATTTACCGATCTTAGTTTTGTCTTGAGATTTTTCAGTTCCCCAATTTTTTATTTTTCAATTCTTTTGCAATTTTTCGTAATTTTTTCTTTTTATAAATTCTATTTTAATTTTTAAAAAATCTTTAGTTTTAATGTATGACTTCATTTGTTCTATGCTTAGTTATTTATCAGTCAGTATGCACTGTTAGCTAATCTTTTGTAGTGTTGTGAAATAAACTTACATATCTTATGTTATCTTATCTTATCTTAATTACAAATTGTTTCCAATTTTTCTAATTTTTAATTTATCGACTTTTTAATTTTTCGACTCTTTGATACTCGATATTTAATTTTTCGACTTTTCATTTCTTCAACTTTTCGATTTTTTTTTTGTTTTTTTCCAATTTTGCATTTTTTTTTTTAACAATTTTTCGATTTTTCAATTTTCAGATTGTTGAATTTCTGAATTTTTAATTTTTCAATTTTCCACTTTCGAGTTTTCAATTTTAAAATTTGGTATTATTCGATTTTTCAACTTTTGCATTTTTCGATATTCCAAGTTTTTGTTTCATCAATTTTTTAGATTGACAAGTTTTCCAGTTATCAATTTCAAATGTTTAAAGGTTTAGAATTTTCAGTTTGTCGATTTTTGATTTTCCTATTTTCAACCTTTCGTTTCTTCAATTTTTTCAATTTTCAAGTTTTCGACTTTTAGTTACTCGATATT